AGAAAGAAAGAAAGAAAGAAAGAAAGAAAGAAAGAAAGAAAGAAAGAGGGAGGGAGGGAGGGAGGGAGGGAGGGAGGGAGGGAGGGAGGGAGGAAGGAAGAAAAGCAAGTAGTGGGCAGTACCAGTGGAGAGCTCTGGTACTGCGAACCAAGAAGTCTCAGTCCCTACCGCTCTCCTCCCCCAGGGCATTGCTATCAGGTCGAGGCTTTGCTTCTGCACACGTCTGTCACCTGCTGATAGGTGTGTAGACATGTATGTATACCTAGAAGGACAGAGATGTATCAGGAACTGCTTTAAACTGAGTCACTCTCCTGCCTCTTGGTGTTTCTTAGAGGTCGTTTTCAGAGTAGCTGCCAATCTTTTTATGGTACCTAACATTGCCTAGAATCCTCTGGATGTGCTGAAGGAACGTAACCACTGTTGGTGCTGCCTGTGGTGACAGCTCCAATTCTCTGCTATTTTAAGCAGCGACGCAGAGAATGTCCTGGTGCATGTGTGTCTTGCTGGCTTTTGTAGACACAGATGTCTTAGTAATGGGACTGTTGAATCTTCAAGGGTGCAATGTGTTTTTTGTATTTTGGTGCACCCTTCACAACGATTATCCCACTTTTCAGCAATGCTTTCCTGTACCCTACCCCAGGCCTACTAAGTCTGTATATTAAGTATGTATTTCTGGGGATAGCATTTGAGAATCTATTGAAAACATAGCTTCCAACTGGGCATACTAGCACACGCCTTTAGTTCCAGTACTCAGGAGGCAGAGGCAGGCAGACCTCTGAGTTTGAGGCCAGCTGGGTCTACACAGTGAGTTTCAGGACAGCCAGGGCTACACAGAGAAACCCTGTCTTGTTGGGGGAGGGAGGCTTCCAAAGTACTCCTGCTGTGGCTGTTTCTATGACCAGCCTTGTAGGACAGCTACTACAAGAAAATGAGAATCTACCTATGGAAACACTGGAGTCTGAACTGGCCAGAGAGCTGCAGTAAAAGAGGTTCCCCAAAAGATGAAGCTAAAGGGGAACCATAGGGAGGTTCCCAGCCCTGTTTACACATTGTTCAAGCTTACTGGAAAGGTCAGGTTGCAAGGACGCAGTTCACCAGCCTGGGGTTGCTAACCCCACAGTAAATGGTCCAGGAGCTGCTTCCTAAGTCCCTTTCACTCTGGCTCTGACAGAACGGGGTCTCCGCTCTACTTTCCATTGTTAAAACTCAGTATTCTTTAGCCACAAATGGGTGTCTGTTAGGATGTTGTTCTGTTTTGTCTTCCCAGACCTGGGGAGCCCTTTGTTCTAGACAGGCCTGGTTCATTTCTGGTAGAGGTTGCTGGAACTCTTGGGCTCCTGTTGAAAACCTGTCAGAGCAGGGCACCCTCACCATGCCATCCGCTGCCATCTGTCCTCCCACATCGCACTTGGAAAGTCTCATCTTCGGTTCCAGCAACATTCAGGCCCTCTCGCCTTTACAGGCTGAGCTGTGCTTGTTGTGAGAGCGTGTCCATGTTCGGCTCCTTGCTCACCAAGAACTAACTCAGTTAGCACTGACCAAGGCAAGGTTGCTTCATCTCGGTGTCACCAGATGAGGTGGTAAACTCAGGGCTGCCACCCGTGGGGGCCACAGCGGCGGTGGCTGGGGTGGGTCAGCTCCTCAGTTTTTCTCACTTAGCCTGACCCATCAGCGGCCGTTGCTTTTGTTGATAGGATGTATACGTTTCTGAGGATTGTTATGTACTAACCACCGCCCTTCCCTACCTCACAGAGTGCCACACTAAAGCCCAGGCAAATACTGCTCTTTCTGTTCGTCTGTGTAGGGAACTCTCAACTTTGGTGGGATCAGGGTGGGCAACGGACCGACAGAGGAGGATGCTGAAATTATTCAGCATGACCAGCTCTCCACCCACTCAGAGGACGCAGAAGAGGTAAGAGCCGGTGGCGCGGGCTTCCTCTCCTACCTCGGGCAGCTCCGGGCTTGTTTCCTAAGAGGCTTACTCAATCGTCTCCTCGAAAAATCAAACTACTAATGACTGGCCACTGTCGGGCCTTGCTTGGGGCGCGGCAGCTTGCCCTGCGGGGCCTGCTCTAATCTCCAGGTGCGGCCACGGAGCCCACGCAGCTCGGCTCTGCTCTTCTTGAACTCCTTGGGTCTGTGGTGCGCTGCATGTGGCCTCAGCCACTAACTGCTCTCCTCCAGCCACGCAGTGCCCAGCGTCTCACCTCTTGCTAACCCCAAACACGGGAGCCTTCAGCATAGCTTCTTCATCCTCTGCTCCTCCCGAGTCCTTAGTCACGCTGTTCACTGGCCGACCTCGGGGCTGCCTTTTGAGGCCCGCCTCATCGAGGTGTTCGTCATCCAAGGGGTTTTGTTTGTTTGTTTTTTAAGAGCTTTTAAAAATTGCTCTCTGTCTTCTTTTTAGTGAGTGAGAGCGGCAAGGAAATCAGGCCTGGCTGCCTTTCCTGTTGACTCTGCTCTCCAAGTCAGCTGTTTAAAATTCATTCTCCATTCGTGGCACAATGCCTCCCAACTAAACTACTAACTCTCTCCCTCGATTGTATTATTTTTTTAAAGCAAATAAAATAGCAATGAGGAACTAGGCTGGCTTTTTCAGTCTGGCCACTCTGACTATGCTTTTGGTTTTTGGTTGTTTTTTTGTTTGTTTGTTTGTTTTTAACTGCAAGTGTTGGGCTGCCTTTAAAAATAAGTACCTTAAATTGCCCTTTAAGTCTGTGCTAAGGGAGAGTTCCTCCAACATGCTATCCCCAACTAACCAGCCTCCCCCTAAAAACCCAGTCAGTAATGCGTACTCATAGCTTGTGATCTTGTGTGTGGCACAGCTTCCCACTAAGTGTGAATTTGTGTTTTCAAGCCTACCGAGGACGAAGTGGTAAGACCAGAGCCTTCGTGTCTATCTGGGGCTTCTCTTTTTCCCATCCTTGTGTTCACTCTGCCAACCCTACTGCACCCCGGGGCCACACACGTGACGCCGTGCATCCTGCATCTCACTGGCCATTTCTAGCTGATTTGTGAGCCTGCATTCTGAAACAGTTCATCTCCATTAACTGCATCTCATGTCGGTCACCTCTGTCCTTGTGCTGTTGACTGCTAGTCTAATACCTCTGAAACTGGCTTTGAAGAAGCTGCAAGTAATGTCTGTACTGGCATTCTTGACGTCATTGCCCTCGGGGTCAAGGGTCATGGGTCTCCACCCTCCTCTCCTGGGATGTGTTGGTTGCTCTGCCACCGGGGGTAGTGGTCCCCGCCCTGCTCCTCTGAGTGCTTGCAAGCTAAGCTCACCCTTCCTCCTGTCTGAGCTGCAGCCTCTCCCGCTGCCCCCATCAGCTCGGTGGCGCCTCAACTTAGGGCCACAAGACCCTTGCTTGGAGTCAGTCCTAGCTCCACACGACCTGGTTGAGAAGTCAACAGCTTTCAAAATGAGCTTTGCCTCTCAGGTATATCCAGGGAAAAGAAATCCATCTGCAGGAAAGGTCTTCCTATGTTAAGACTAGAATGGAAAGAAATCAAGAATAGAATGGAAAGAAAGCTAAACGCTTAGGCCGTTTACAGTACCAGGCCTTGTAGCTCGGCAGCAATTCATTTACCAACATTCATGTTTTGAGACAGATTTTCAAAGACCTTGCTGCACTGTTTACATCTTTCCCCCAAACTTCTCTCTAACATACCTGTACCTGTGAACCGTTCCTTCCCTTTCCTGGTCTCTCCAAGGGGCGATGCATAGCCGTGGAAAACCTTTGCTGTTCTGTGTCAAAACAGGCAGTTTTGGTCTCCCTGATGGCTGGAGGGACTACCTTGCCTGCTTCTGGGCCAGGTGTCTGTGCATAGTTGCTGGCTGAGCTTTCTGGCATGGTTGAGGAGCCTGGCCCTCGCCCAGTATCGCTACCTCCAGCGTACTGCTTTCCAGATATTTGCTTCATTTAGTACCAGTACCAGCAGCAGCAGCAGAATGTTCTAATCAACTAGTGCCTCATTTACAGCCATGTCCCTGGGAACTGGACAGTCAAGAAGATGGGCTATGGTGTAATACCGGGCCACCGAGCACGCTCAGGGAATTCGCTCCCCCTGGCTTCTGCCATACTTACAACTTTGTCTTTATCCAGCATTGATTCTCCACAGCCAGGTTTAGATACTTATGTAATAATTTCAAACAAAGCAGATTCCTAAAAAGCAATGCAGCTTGCTTCTGCAATTCCCCCACGCTGCTTTAGATGTAAACACGTGTTCATTCCGGGCAGGGCAACTGTACCCTCACTCTAGGAGGCAGTCTAGTCCAGCTCCGAACCAGGCCCAGGCTACTTGCTACCTGCGAGAGCTCTGAAGGCTGTAACCATCCAAGAGTCAGTGGCCCCTCCCCCTGCTGTGTCTTCTCACCAGCTGCTTTCATCAACTCATCCCCACTCACCCACCCATCTGCGCAGTCACGCACCCTCCGTGTGTCACACGCCCTCAGTGTGAAGCGCTATGTTCAGTGCCGTAGAAACGGAGAGAAGAAAAGTAGCTCTTGCCTTTAAGGATCCTCCAGACAAGGTAGGGAGATGGTCTGGTGACAGACACCATGGTGCATGTGTTCCCAGGACGCTGTGGGAACACAAGATGAAGGCCCACAGGCCCAGCCCCTGGTGAGCGGGTGCAGGAGTTGGGGAACTCCTGAAAGGAGAGGTTGGCAGAGAGTGACCGTAGTTGGAGCCTCACTTTGGCAACAAGGAGCTATCAGAGTAGTGAAGCCGAGGGGCGTGGGTACTGCTGTGACCCTGTGGTAGAGCTGTGGGGAGACGGGCACAGGACATTCTGTACCGTGATTTAGGAAAGGACTGGGTGGCTTAAAATGAAGTCAGTCACTTACGGGGGTGGGGAGAGTTGAAAGGGAAGGCCCTGGCTTGCAGATGGAACAGTGAGCAGAATCTTGGTGGAATCAGAGGGGAGACTGCTATGTTTCAGTCAGTGATGATGGGCCTGGAGCCCTGGGGCACCCAGGAGACATAGCATAGCTAGCCGAGGATGGACAGCACAGGGGCGGGCATGTTTGTTTGCAAGTCAGTCCCAGGGGTGAGTCTGTGGGTCTAGTGAGTCTGTGTCAGTTCTACAGAAAAGACTTCAGGGCAAGGCCGTGACTCACCCTGGAGGGACAGTGGTGCAGAGGAAGGAATGTCACAGAGGCGGAGGAAGACCAAGAGGCAACGGAGTGTCTCAAGGAGAAAGGACTCAGCCACAGTGACAGATGCCACCAAGTACAGCCCAGGGCACAGAGTGTCTGTTAGATCTAACCACTGGGAGGTGACGTAGCCATCTTCCGTAGAAAGCCATTCTGAGCTGGGCGCAGTGGCACACACCTTCAATCCCAGCAATTGGGGAGGCAGAGGCAGAGGCAGAGGCAGGTGGATCTCTGTGAGTTTGAGGCCAGCCTGGCCTACAGAGTGAGTTTCAGTTTCCTAGACAGCCAAGGCTACACAGAGAAACCCTGCCTCGAAAAACAAAAAGCAGAAAAGAAAACAAAACAAAAATCCACAGTGTGGAACTGGAGAGACAGGGCAGTGGTCAAGAGCCAAGAGCACTGGCTTCTCTTCCAGAGGCCGTTGGTTCAATTCTCAGCATCTACACAGAGGCTCACAAAGTATCACACCTTCTATTCCAGAGGCTCTGACCCGCTCTGCTGGTCTCTGCAAGTGTTGCAGGGAAGACACCAATACACATAAAATAAAAATAAATAAATTTTAAAATTATATACATACATGGGCTGGAGAGATGGCTCAGCAGTTGAGTAACACTGCTCTTCCAAAGGTCCTGAGTTCAGTTCCCAGAACCCACATGGCAGCTGTCTGATGCCATCTTCTGATCTGTAGATGTACAATCAGACAAAGTACCCATGTATATAAAATACATAAATAAATCTTTAAAAAAAAAAAAAAAAGGCAGCACTCAGGAGTCAGAGGCAGGCAGGTATCTGAATTTGAAGCCAGCCGTACCCACGGGGTGAGTTCCAGCCCAGCCAGGACTACACAGTGAGAGCCTGTCTGAAAAAAATGCACTTGGAGGCTGGAGAGACGGATGCCCGTACAAAGGACCTGGGTTCGTTCCCAGCACCCACATGGTGGCCCACACCCACCCGTAACTCCAGCTCCAGGAAATGCAACCCCCTCTTCTAGACTCCAAGGGCACTGCGCGTGCACTTACCTGCAGGTGAACAGTCCTACACATAAAATAAAAACAATCCCGATGCGGTGGCACACACTGCAAAGCCAGCAAAGGGAGGCCGAGGGGGGAGAGATACAGTGAAGTGTGCTGGGATGCTCAGGTTAAAGGCCAGGTCAGAAAGGATTTCTGGGGAAGTCACTCACCACTCAGAGAGTCAACACTGGCACCTCAGCCCCTCTACAGGTGAGACAGTCAGCTCTGAGGAATGTAGTGGCCCACCCTGCCGTGGGCTCCAGGGACAATTCAGCGGCCTCATGCTCTCCTCCTAGCCTGATAAACCTCTGTGGTTTCCTCCCATGCCAGTTCGACTTTGCCGATGCCATGGTCCACCAGGCCATCCACACCATCGAGTACTGCCTGGGCTGCATCTCCAACACCGCGTCCTACCTGCGGCTCTGGGCCCTGAGCCTGGCGCATGCGCGTAAGTGTGCTCTCCCCAATCCTCTCCTTCTCTGGGAACTCCCTTAGAGTGATGGGGGAGGGAGGGCCATGGAAACACAGTAAAGTTCTGGAATCAGATCAGCTCCTGAATCCAAGAATGAATGCAGATAAGGTGTATTAAGTCGTAATCAAGTTAGGTGTTCAGTGATCCTGCCCTAACTGCAGGAATCCAGGGTAAATGGGCCTCGCGCCCCGCCCCACCCCCTTTCGCTAAACTCAGCTGCGCCTCATGTCTCCCCCAGAGCTTTCTGAAGTACTCTGGACCATGGTCATCCACATCGGCCTGCACGTCCGGAGCCTGGCCGGAGGGTTAGCGCTGTTTTTCATCTTCACCGCCTTTGCCACCCTGACAGTGGCCATCTTGCTGATCATGGAGGGCCTCTCAGCCTTCCTCCACGCACTGCGGTTACACTGGTGAGTGGTAAGGGGCCCTAGGTGGAGCGGCCACGCGCTTGCTCCCAGGGAGCGGTCGGTCCTCTTGCTTAGCACCGGAAGTCTGCCGGCCCTTACTGCAGGACCACACACACCTTTCCTGGCTCGGAACCTTGAGGGGGAAAAAGGCCACAGGAAAGCCCAGCTCATCTTTTCAAGGGTTCCAGGGAACTCCTTGCTTTAGTACTGCTCAGGGCTTTGATAGTGCTTACACAGTTGAGGGGGAGGAGTGGGAAGGGTAGGTCTTGTGTTGTTGTTACCGTTTGTTTGTTTGTTAACCTATTTTCTTTTTAAAAATAGGGTCTCGCTGTATAGCTAGGCTGGCCTTGAACTTTCAGTTCTCCTGCTTCCGCTTCAAGTGTTAGGATTACAGCAAGGACTACCATGCCCAACTGGGAGTTTGGTACCCACAGAGATGGTTTTGTTTTGTTCTGGCCTGTGGCTCCTGTTTTCAGACCACTAGACTGGAGCCCAGCCAGGAACACTAGAGCACTCTGTCCCGGGTTTGTCCCTTTACTGTGCCCCCGTGCCAGTGCAGCTAGTACACTAAAGCAGCTTTTCCAAAGGTGGCACGAAGATGGGGGAGGGGCAGGGGTAATGTTTGTTGTCCTTAATGCACTGTGTGAAGAAATGGTTCAGGGACGGGAGAGGTAGACACTGGGCTGGGACCATGACCTCAAACGAGGATTGCCAGGCTTAGCAAATAAGAACATAAGAGAAGGCTAGCGAGGGGGTTAAAGCACTGGCCGCCAAGCCCGATGACCTGAGTTCAGCCCTTTGGAACCACATGGTGGAAGGAGATTGCCAACTCACAGCACACACCTGTAATCCCAGCACTCAGGGAGGCAGAGGCAGGAGGAGCTCTGTGAGTTCGAGGCCAGCCTGGTCTACAAAGTGAGTTGAGAACAGCCAAGGCTTCACAGAGAAACCTTGTCTCAAAAAAACAAAAACAATAACAACAAAAATCTCTACCAATACCAGGTGCTCAGTGAGGTTGAGTTCCAGATAAGCAGTGACTAACGTTTGTATGACTATTTCTCAACTATGCCTGAAACGCAATTATCCTAAAAGCCGGGCAGCCTGTGCTCCCTCTACTCCTTTATGTAGTGATTCCCAAGGAAGGGTTAATTCCAGCACCCTGAGAAGCTCTAGTTGACCCCACACCTGGCCTGCCGTGTGAAGGCCCTGGCTGAGGTGAAGAGTGGCGTGGGTGGTCTCAGGGTTCGCTTTGCACAGCCCTGACCCGAGAAGCTTCCTGCCATGGCTCTCACCTTTCTCTTCTGGCTGCAGCACAAGTTTCTTTAAGATTCTGCTGCCAGCTTTGCCAGAAGTGAGAGAAGTGAGGCGTGTTAGCGGTGGGCCATGGCTGCCTGTGGTCCTCCAAAGCTGCTTTAGAAGGGCTGTGCTGGGGGGGGGGGGGGGCTCTCCCTCCTGGCTCTTCTCCGTACCCAGTGGCTTGTTTACTGTAAGCCTGGGAGGTGGGGAGTGCTTTCAGCTGCTGGCTTGGCTCCCTCTCTCCAGTTTATCAGCCAGCTCTCCTCAGCACACTTCCTCAGCCACTCCAGTGCGGGAATCTCTGTATAACCACCCCGCTGGTGACTCACTTTTTCTTGCCCTCTTGGCCTCCTGGCTTTCCTGTTCACATCTGTGTCTCCTGAGCTCTGGAGTTGAGGGAAGATAACCTACCCCTTCCCCCACCCCAGCCCGTGTTAAAGCCCAGTTGCCTCCCACCCCGGGCAGAGGGAGGAGTTGTGAAGTTTGGATCAGAACCGTCAGCAGATCAGGAAGGCAAGAACACCATGCCACGGAGAGCTTGCCTGGCCTTGAGTCTCACTCCCATCAGGAGTTAAGGCAGCTTGGGATGGCCTGTTTAACTGCCAGATCACCTATAATTTCAGGCTCACCTATGGCCTTCAAGTGTCTCGGTGTCTTCCTCCGTTCCCCTAAAGGAGGGTGGAGAAGTGGTGGGTGATGTGAGGCAGGCTTCCGAGACAGACCCGCCTCACTGGTGGTGATCCTGACCTCTCTGAACACGACTCCGCCTTGTGTGGAAAGAGAAGACAGGAGCCACATGGCAAAGTTCCTGTGAGAAAACAGAAAATAACGTACACACCAAGTGCCCTGACGTCCTGTAATGGACAGTGGCTGAAAAGTAAATTGCCCTAGAGGGAGAGAGACCTGGCTAGCGTGCCCCATCAACAACTTTTTCAGGCTGGTTAGAGAACGGGGAGACCCGAAAGGGTCACTGCTGTCCTCTGATGCCCCGTACGCATGGTCTGCAAGGTCAGGCAGGGAGTACATGCCTCCTTTGTTTAGTTGTCTCTGTGGCAGTGTAAGTATTGAGTGGAAAGGAGAAGCAGAGGAAGCCTCCTCCTGCAGCTTTCGGAACCCTGGCTTTGGAGGGGTGGGTGGCCTTCGAGCCTGGGCATCACCACTTAAAAGTTTAATCGGTGCGGGGCACCCTCTACTGGCCAAATGCAGAAGTATGCCAAAGGCTGCAGGGAGCTGAGCTTTGCCGCCCTTTGGTGAAGAATAGCTGGGTGGTCTCTCCTGGCTCGAGACACAAGCATTTCCTGGTGTTTCCCTGATACGCAGGTTCTGAGTTTCTTTAGTGGGACCGAGAAGAAAAACAGTTAATTTGATTTGACAGCCTAAGCCACTAGTCTGAGATTTGTGAAGGTCGTAAGGCCAGTGACATTTAAGAACACAGTTTCTTCCTCTTGGGCGTGTCTCTTCCCACGGAAAGCGTGCTTGGAACGTGCTTGCCATCCATGATTAGACCCAAAGCAGGGATCTGATTGTAACCAGCCGGCAGAACCATGCAGAAAGACTGTTGCGGTGAGACAGGAGTCCGTCTGTGTCTCGGTTGGGTTGGTGGTTGATGGAACAGAACCGGGAGCAGGCATATGAGGAATGAAGCAATGCTACAATAAATAGATAAAAACAAAAATCCCCGGGAAAATAGTCCTGGGCTGACGGCCTCACCCAACCTCTGAGCCACCAGACAGAGAGATGTAAAGAGGGGAGCCAGAGAAGCAGCTGCTCCAGCCCTCTTCCAAAGCTGCCTTCCTCCATCCCCTCTACCAGGAAGGGAAGAGGCCCCACGGCCCTTCCTCCTTTACCCAGCCCTGAAAAGCAGGTCCCTGGAACAGTGTGTTCTCACGTTTGCTCCCTCAGCCCGCCTGGCTTACTGGGCAGCCTTAGCCGGGAGCTGAAGCTGGAAGGGTGCCAGAGAAGCCAGCCTGCCCCCTTGAGACTCTACGTGCATTTCAGTGACTGGGCATGCAGTCCCCCGAGGCTGAGCTGAACAGCAGAGGAGCGTGCAGGAGTGGGCACCTCTCAACCCACAAGGCAACTTTGGTCTGTGCTGTCTCAGGAAGCACACGTTTCCCTGGTTGGGGGAAGAGGGTAGGACAGCCAGAGGGAAATTGTTTTCCATCTCTGTATTTGAGGTGAGGACTCTCCAGATGGGAGGTCAGGTCAGATTGACCTCTAGATAACCCCAAGATGCTGGTCTCCTGTTTGTGTTTGTGTGTGTGTGTGTCCCCAGCTTGCATTGTAAGCACTGTGGAAACAACAAAAGTTTTAGAAGAGCCAAGATACCTTTGGTTAGGACTGCCCTGAGCTCCCGCTGATGGGAAGGCTAGTATCAGAGGGACCTTGTCTATCAGCCTACACAGCAGAACTTTTATGCCTCATCCCAGACCCGTGGGGTAAGCAGGGGTTTGCTTAGCAGGCTGGTGACCCTGTAATCTTCTGAGAAAAACTTGGGTTCCATTTGCCCTGTTTGGAAATTAGAATTGTCTGTCCGTATGACTGGCCAGCCAGAGAAGCCGAGTTCTGAAAGTGCCCCTAGAACTGGAGGCATGAGTTGGGACCCTATGGTGGCACCTGGTGTTGGATGAAGAGGAGAGGCGCACATCTTTTGTTCAGTTGTTAGGAGATACCCATGATATGCGTGAATGAGGCCTACCGGACACGAAGCCTCCAAAGGCAGGGGAAGCAGGAGAGAAGCAGGAGCTAGCTGCCCTCCTCCAGAGCCAGCCCTGCGGCCAGAATGCGCAGAAGGGCTTCTGAGAAGCCCGCACTGTGGAGTAGGATGAGTCTGGGCCCTGGAGTCCTGCAGCGCCATTGCTGGGTCCCATCTTCCCTGGGAGCCCTTGGGGCCTGGTCCTGCCCCTGCAGAAGCAGGAGGGAGAGGAGAGAGCACCAAGGAACACTTCTACACAGAACCTTCTCCCCCCTTTTCCCAACAGGTATAGCCAGTAGCTCTGCTGGGCCTTGAAGCTTCTTAAAGCCTTTGTCACCTGTCCCCAGAGCTCACCACAGTCCCATCCCTGTCTGTGCTTGCAAGAAGCACACGGTGCCCAGTGGAAACTATGCTGCAGGGCAGCTTGGCCTTCTTCTCTGAATCACGCGTGCGTGTTTCTGTCCATATTTGGTGGTGGTTTGGCTGCTGGGCCGCCGGCCAGGGGAGTGTGCGGGAGGAAACAGTCAGGCAGCCTTGCTCCGACTTCTTCCTGCCCCTCTGAGTAGGAAAAGGCCCCAGGTTGCTCAGCAGGGATGGCTGCTGGGCTGCCTGGGAAGGGAATTAAGGCCCTGCTTTTCCTTTTAGTCTCTAGAGGAGAATTCTTTCTCAGATGTTTTTGTGGTTGGAGAATATTTTTGCTTTGAGAAGAATACCCTCCCAGCCCCCTCCCTCTTTCCTGAAAGTTTCCACCCCTGAACTGAATAACTTTAGCATTTGCTCCGAACTCTGCCCTTCTTGGGGGGTGGGGGGGAGGATGGTCCTCATGCTTACCCAAAACAGAATTCCTCCCAGAGGCTTCTCTTAGATGTGGGCTGTGTGAGCGCCTGCCAGGGCAGGGTACGGGAGACTTCTCTTCATCAACTTAGTGCTATCATCCTGTGCCTTCTGTGCTGCTGCAGCATCTAGCACAAACAGTAGGACAAAGTGAGAATGAAATGGGAGGGCAAACAGCTATCCTCTACATGGTCTTGCTGAGGGTGGGCCTGGGCTCTGAAAGTAGCTCCTGAGGCGATGGCAAGGTGGTCCTGTGGTAAAGGTAGCGGTCCTGTGGTAAAGGTGCTGCCACTCAAGCCTGGTGACCCAAGTCTGGCCCTCAGTACCCATGGAAAGGTGGAAGAGAACTGATTCCACAAAGTTGACCTCTGACCTCCTCCCAAAATAAAGTTTAAATGTTATTTTTAATTTAAACGATCACTAAAAAGAGAGGGCAGTGAGATGACTCTGTGGATAACAGCGCTCACCTCGAAAGTCTGGTTACGTGAGTTCAGTTTCCAGAACCCACAAAGGTGTGTCTTAGGGTCAGCATCGCTGTGATGAAACACCATGATCCCAGCAGCCGGCGGAGGAGAGGGCTTACTTGGCTTACACTTCCACAACACTGTTCATCCCTGGAGGAAGTCAGGACAGGAACTCAAACAGGCACCTAGATGCAGAGGCCATGGAGGGCTGCTGCTTACTAGCTTGCTTCCCTTGACTTGTCAGCCTGCTTTCTTATGGAACCCAGGACCACCAGCCCAGGGATAGCGCCGCCCACAGTGGGCTGGGCCCTCCCCCATCAGTCACTAATTAAGAAAACTCCCTTATAGGCCTGCCTACAGCCAGATCTCATGGAGGCATTATCTCTTGAGATTCTCAGCTCTCAAATGAGTCTACCCTTTGTCAAGTTGACATAAACTGTCCAGCAAAGCTGGAAGGGGGAAGCGAGAGGACCATCTCCACGGAGCTCTCCTCTAACTCCCACATGTGCTGCAGCACATGCACATGGCATAACATAGATCATAAATGAAAAGGAGCTAAGTAGGGCTGGAGAGATGGCTCAGAGGTTAAGAACACTCACTGTTCTTCCAAAAGTCCTGAGTTCAATTCCCAGCAACCACATGGTGGCTCACAACCATCTATAGTAGGATCTGGTGTGTGGGCAGAATGTTGTATAAATAATAAATAAATCTTAAAAAAAAAAAAAAAGAAAGAAAGAAAATGAGCTAAGTAAAAGCAGCTCCTGGGCTATGAGCAGCCAAGAAAGAGCTTTCTCACGCTCACCACGAGGGCAGAGTTAGAGGGAACAGAGAACAGAAACCTGAGGAAGGTTGCTCTGGGCTGGATGGTGGCAGCCACTGTAGTCCCAGCTATCCTGGAGGCTAGAGCAAGAGGATGGCATGAGTCCAGGAGTTCAGGGCCAGCCTGGGCAACACAGCGAGACCCTCTTGTTTCTTTATTGTTTTATTTTTAAAATACCTGAGTGAGGCCACGGAGGCTAGAAGAGGGTGTGAGATCTTCAGGAGCTGCCGTTAAAGGCAGTTGTGAACAGCCGTGTGGGTGCTGAGAACCAAACTCAGGTCCTCTGCAAGAGCAGCAAGGATCCTCAACCCCATCCCATTTCACCTATTTGTTTCATTGAATTTTCGACAGGGGCTCACTGTGCCGCCCTGGCTGGCCATAGAGCCACCTGCCCCTGTCCCCCAGAGTTGAAGCGTGAGCCGCCACGCTCGGCCCTACCTCATTTTCCCCGTGAAATGACGGCTCTACTCCTCTTCTTTCCAGGGTGGAATTCCAGAACAAATTCTACTCGGGGGCTGGCTTCAAGTTCCTGCCCTTCTCCTTTGAGCACATTCGAGAGGGGAAGTTTGATGAGTGAGTCCCCAGCAGGGCACGTGCCCCGAGCAGCCTTCCTGCTTGCCTCCACAGTGATTGCCTGTGTTCCTTCTGCCTGTCAGTTGTGATCCCTGGATACCAGGGTGTGATGGTGTCACCCCTGCCACCCCCGCCCCAGCTGTGAGTCATTTAGGTAGCACTGGCCTTCCCTGGGTCTCTCTACCCCAACCCTTGTTCACTTAGACTTTTTAATGAGAGTTGGATGCCTGATACCCATCCATCCTCAGGGAACCAGCCTTGGCCTCCCCGCCTCCAGACACACAGCTCTATTCCGCCCCCTGCTGGTGAGCCAACATGCACAGCCACATGGGGGCACAGAGCCTTCAGAACGGAAGGGGTCTGGGTCCCTAAATGAGTCCGCAGCTCTTGGTCACACCTTGGAGGAGGATCACAATAGGTTCTCTCCTGGCAGAGGACGTTGTGTTTGGGACATTTCCTGCTCCAGTTAGCAGGGACAATCAGGAAGATGCTGTTGTCATCTTTTGCCCACCCCTCCCCAGGTAGTATTAATAGGTAGTTCAGCTGGCCCCATCCGGGCCCCGACGAGTGGCTTCTCCTTGATATCCCAAAGGTCCCAGGGTAACCAGCACCGCCTTCTCCCCCAGCCCTCTTGGCACAGCATAGCACCCCTGGGAATGGGAGAGTCTAACTGACTTGCAGCACAGGCTTCCTGACCTTAGATTACCTTCCATCCAGCCTGTGCATGAATGGGCCCTGCCCAGCACAACACCCCAAGGCAGAAGTTAAAATTGGCACTCCCCTGGTGCACCCCCTGAGCCCTTCCCCATCCTGATCATGATGTCCTGAGGCTGTGGTCAGTAAGGCTGGTTCTGCCGGCAGGCCTGCCTTGATCCGCCCACTGATGCGCCCTCCCCAACTCCCACACTGACCCCAGGTCTCAGGAGCGGTGTCCTGGGCAGGGAAGGCCAGTGTCATTTATAGTTTGCTAATTGGAGGTAGGCTGCTAGTGCAGGTGTGGTGAGCCTGCAAAGGCCTGCCAAGCCCTCCTCACCCACCTGGTGAACCCCTGGCTGTGGCTCTCAGACCCTTCTAATCATGTGCTGACCCAGCAGCCCAGCTGCTCCCCCTCAATTCACTCATTGCCTTCCCTGGGGAGGCGATATAAATCAGCAAGGCCCATCCCCCCTCCCCACCCTGGCGCCCATGAGAGCTGCTCACACTCGCCCAGGCAGGGCTGGCCCACTGTGACCTCATTCCAAACCCCCTCTTCCATTGTCCCAGTTTACATGATGATCTTTGCTCTGTTTACAGTGAGGCCTGAGGCAGAGTTTCATGCCTGGGACCCTGCTCATGGCCTTCTGTCCAGACCTTCTTGTGCTGAATAAAGTGTGTTTGCCTGTCCCTGAGTGCTCAGCCCATGTCGCTCTAGCTCCGCCCTCTTGAGTCCATCCAGGACCCACACCCTCTTCCTCCTGCCAGCATTTCTGCTTTTCTTCCTGATCTGGCCACAGTTGCCATGGCCCAGGCTGGGCAGTTAGTTTGTGAAATTAGCACCTTATCTCCAGCTTCCCAGGCGCCTTCCCAGTCACATGAGCCAAGTTAGCTTTGCAGAGCTTGGGCAGTCTTTATCTCCCTTCCCTTCCCCATGTATCCCAACATGAGAAGGGGCCCTGGGTGTCTGGCCCCAATCCTCTCCAAGTGCATTCTCCAGGGTTCCATGCCTGGCTATTTTAAGCCCTAATGCCTTTGGCCTTGGTGTAAGTAGAGGCTTGGCAGGCTCTTGAGGGCAGCTGGAGAATGTGAGGAGCTGAAGTCGCAAGCTACGGGCCAGAGAACCAGCAGACTGTGGGGAGTTGGCTGGGTGGGGAGGGCACTTCCCTTCCCTGATACAGACACATTCTTTCTTGGCCCGTCCCTCCCTACACCCACAGGCACACAGTCTGGTCCAGGAATGTAGCACCGCTTCTCATGAGGAGCAGGGAGAGGCCGGGACATCCTGATCATTCCATCTTCATATCCCACCCTAGCCTAAACCCCTCTCTCCCAACCAACAGGGCACCTACCCCCGCAGCAGTACCTCCTACTCTTCACATAAAAGCCCTAAAGGGAACTCTGTGGAGCAAACTCTTAACCTCCTGCTGTTACCTACTCAAAAGGGAGGCCTGACTAGAATAGCAGAGTTGAGAATCCAGGATTAAATCCTAATCTACAGTCAGTGAATTTTAGACAAAGAGGGGACAATAACACTCTGAGGAGAGACCTGAGCAGGGCACTATATCCACTCTGGGGGTGGATGCAGGATTGGGAGTTCAAGACCAACCTGAACTACATGAGACCCAGTTTCCAAAACAACACAACAAAAACCCCTTTGTTTTCAGTAACTAGTGCTGATACAGCTGGGAGACCACCTGCAGAGGAACACATTTGGGTTGTTCCCAGACCAACAAAGATGAACTCACACACTGGGTGCCTAGTACTCAAGGGCCTGGAACAGAGGGATCTTACGTGTGACGCCAGCACATGCTGAATAACTAGGTCATGTCTTACCAACCACACACAGAGTTAAAAATGGATCACAGACCTATACAGAAGGGTCAGCGATGTAAAACTTAAGTGGCCTTCACACCAGGCAATGAGTCTCACATGTGAGCAACAAGATTAAAAGGCAGATGTGCATCTGCCTTCAAACTCTTGGTAAGCTTCTGTGTATCGAAGGTCAGAGTTAAGGCGCCTGGAGACAGAAAGATAGAGAAAAGGTCATAGCAGATACCCAGGCAGTCGGAGCTGTGCCATTCAAGGAAAGGGTGAAAGGCCTTGAGACTGTCTGAGGAGATAAAGGATCCGAGATAGCTATCTCCAAGGACTGCGAGTCTGGGGCTGAGGGGACACAATCTCTGTCCACCTCCTGAAGCGCGGCGGTCCTCGGCCTTCCTAACACTGCGACCCTTTAACACAGCTCCTTGTGCTGTGGTGACGCCCAACATAAAATTACTTTTATTGCTACTTCAGAACTATAATTTTGCAACTGTTATGAATGATAATGTAGGTATCTGTGTTTTCCTATGGTCTTGGGCAATCAATCCCTGTGAGAAGGTCATCTGACCCGGAAGAGAGTCACGGCAACCCACAGGTTGAGAAACGCTGCCCTAAAGGTTCTGTTACCTCCCCAGAGAGTGACACTAACCAGGGACCGCGTGTTGAAATACAAGAGAGAACGTTTCTCATGCAAACCACCACAGTACATAATCTGAGTAAGGTAGGAGGCCAGCCTGCCTCCCAGCCAGGCTGAAGAGAAGGTGGAGTCCTTGGCTAGGCTGAGTTCTCAGAAGCCGGAAGGTTGGGGTTTCCTCCAGCACGCTGAAGACAGGCTGACCAGGGACTGGGCTGGAACGTGTGGAAAGCTAGGAGTCAGCGAGGAGCAGGCTCCATGTGCCTGCTCCTAAGGCACAAGTCTTTTCCCCTTTACAATTTCTGAGCCAAGGGATCTGCTGAGTAAGTCTGAGCTCCTGGCCAAGGAGTACCCTCATCTTGAGGTCCCAGAACCAGCTTTGGAGAACACAGGTCAACTGGGGAGCCCAAGCATCCCAGGAATGGGGACAATTCCATCACTGCCTTGTGTGATGGTACCAGCTCCCCTGGTGAGATGTTGTGTTCCAGTAACCACCCAACCTGCTGGGGTAGCTCCCAGCCTACACAAGTCTTGTGCTGGATGTAGGCTGCCCCCTGCTGGCCACACAAGAAAGTCTTCATTCTTCACACCAAATGGTTAAGGCCTTTCAGGCAGGCAAGTGGATTGGTACGGAAAAAAGAATTCTGAGGTTGTTTTGGAGTGCATAGGCCAAGGAACATGATGGTCAAGAGATAAAACAAAATAAAGCAAGAAACTAGAGAGATGGAGAGCAAACTGAGGCCCCAGCAAGCTCGCTTCACACATTAGCCTGTCACTAAAGTAAAAGGATCAAAATGTTCTCAAGCCCTCATAAAAGTGAATGTGAGTTCTACTGGGCGAGGTGGCGCAGGCCTGTAACCCCAGGAGGTAGAGGCCACCCTGACCTTCAAGGACAGTCCAGGACAGCCAAGGCTACACAGAGAAACCCTACCTCAAAACAAAACAAAAAAGTGAGTTCTGTGCCAGCACTGGGGGTAACCTCCATGTCATCAGCACTCAGGAAACAGTGGCAGAACTAGAACAAATTTGAGAACAACCCCATCCACGTAGAAAGTTCCAGGCAAGCCAGGGCTATTTAGTGAAAATGTCCAAAAAAACAAAAAGGAAAGAAAGACAAAAGGGAAGGAAAAAAACAACTGAAAAACAAAAACAGAGGCCAGTATGGTGTCACACACATTTAATCCCAGCACTTGGGAAGCATACGTGTGGGATCGAAGCCAGCCTGTACGCAGAGTTCCAGAGCAACACGGTGACACAGTGAAAAACCCGGTCTTAAAAAAAAAAGGAAGGCGGTGAAGAAAAGATGGCTCAGGGCTGGGTGTTCTTCCTGGGTTCCATTCCCAGCACCCACCTGGTGGCTCCCAGCCTCCGTAACTCACGTCCCGGGGGATCCTCAGGCCTTCTCTGGCCTCGAAGGTACCAGGCTAGCTAGTGTGTGGTACACAGACATATACTCGGCAAAGCACCCGGAGATTAGGTGATTCGAAGGAAGCCTTCCATCCGCAGCACCCTACTCTGGGGCAGCTGTGCACACGCCACGGCCGGTGCCGTGGTCACAGGTCACAGGTCAAAGGTCACAGGACAACTTGCAAGAATCACTTTTCTTCTTCCTCTTCCACTACGTGGGTCCCAGGGCTTTAATGTAGGTTGTGCAGCTTGTGGCAAGGGCCTTTGCCACGCAGGCTGAGCCCTCTTACTGTACCCACTTTTTTTTTTTTTTTTTCTTGAGGTTTTGCTCTTGTTCAGATTAGGCTCAAACTGCTATCAATACAGAGGTTCATAAACCTACCACAAATTTCCCTGTTTTTTTGTTTTTTGTTTTTTTTAATTAGGTGTACCTATAATCACAGGATCTTGGGATTCTGAGGCAGGATCATCGCCTTGACTTCAAGGCCAACCTGGCCTATAGAATGAGACTTCGTCTCAAAACAACAGGAAGAAGAAATCAGAAAAAAAAAATTAGAAATTTGTCTGTACTTTGGTCAGACTGGGGGGGAGGGGTGTCCAACCAAGCCCTAGCCAGCATCGCTGGAACCACCCCTGTCCTCAATGCCAGACTGTCCTATGGTGACTTCTAACAGACTAAATCTTCCTGTCTGCCCAGAGGGTCTCAGCCTGCACGGCTCCCGGCACAAGATCCTTGGGAAAGTTCAAGTTTCTTAGTCTGCACTGTCTAAGAAGTCTAAGAGCCAAAAGGAGCGATGCAGCTCTCTCAACCTGAGGGCCAAGACCCCTCTGGGCCGGGGGTGGGGGGGACAACAGAAGAATTTCATGCCTGTATTAAATGTGCATGTGGTGCATGCATATATGTGTCTCCTTCTGTATGAGGAGGCCAGAAGACACCAGCTGTCCTCTCTCGTTCCTGCAATCTTTCCTGAGACCTCTCACTGAACCTACAGCTGGCAGCCAACAAGCCCCAAGGATCCTCCTTCTCTGCTCTTCGGCGGTGCGGCCCTGCCGGGAGAATGAAAAAGGAGACACTGTGACCAGCAGGAAGTCAGTCGGTCAGCCGTCCAGGGCGGGTGTGTCCCCAACCTGCTGTCCCTGCTGACATAGCCACTAAAAACTGCTCTTTCTGAACCGCGCTTGGGTCCAGAAGGTAACTCAGAGCAGGATAAGGGCCTGGCTCCCCGCCTCCAGCTGTGTCCCTCTTCCTCCTCTTCCTCATTTTGGGTCAGCTGCTTCTGCAGCAAGTTAATCTCCACTTGAGTAATTAACCTACCTCATCCTCCTTCAAAGACAAAGGCGTAGAGATAACACTCTTTTGGGTTCTTTGTTTTATGGTTGTTGTTGGTTTGTTTCTGTTTGTTTTTGTGTTCAGCCCTCGCTAGCTTGGAGACCATACTATCCTTGAACTCACAAAGATCCCCCTGTCTCTGCTTTTCCAAGCGCTGGGATCAAAGGCAAGTGCTACCATGCCCGGCTACGAGCTGTAAGGCACTCAGCAACTAGGATGTCCACACAAGATTTGTCTTTTGAATATGCTCGGCTTATGCATGCAAACATTCCTTATGGTGCCAAGCTAATATAAAAGATAGACATCTCACCAAGTGGGGAGCAGTTGTTTGGGCTGAAATGCTGCAGGGGTCCACTGGGAGCCTTCTCTGGTGAGGGCGCTTCGGAAGCTTGCAGGCTCGACCCACATCCGCTGCGGCAGGCAGGAGGATGGCCCTGATGGAGGTCCAGGAGGTCCTGGAGAGGTGTAGGCCAATGGCTAGTGCTGTCATGGAGGCTGTGTGGGCCCCATGACAGTGCCTGAAGTTCAGTGGTCACTGAGGCCAGGGCCACGTGCACAGAGCCTCAAGTCCTCTTGGGGATGGCTATCAACCCAGAGGCTAGGGAGGCCGAGTCTCAGGAGCACAGCCCAAAATTCCATGCCCAAAATGCCAATTTTTGTATTATTTCATTGAGCAGTACTTTGCACCCTCAGGGCTCACAGCCTGGGGCTGGTTCACTGGCACGTCAATACTGTCATTAGTATATTAACCCTGTCCTTGCCTAAACTGGTACCCCAGCAGCCAACAGCTGGCAGGTGGCCTACCTGGAGCTTGCTTTTGAAGCCTAGCTCTTATCAAAACTTCCTGGCGGCACCCGGGCATGGTGTCCCACACCTGTAATCCCAGTCCTCGAGAAGCAGAGGCAGGTGGATCTCTGTGAGTTCCAGGCCAGCCTGGTCTACAGAGTATGTCCAGGACAGCCAAGGATACACAGAGAAACTCTGTCTCGAAAAACAAAACAAAGAAAAAAATAAACTTCCCGATGGCAAGTCTAGGCATAAAATGACTCTTGAGTTACACAAAATGGTTTTTAGGTTAGGTGCCCAACAGCAGCTAAAACAGTTTTCTTAATTTAAAAAAAAAAAAAAAGTGGAAATGGAAATGGGACTCTAGAAGGAGCCACTTCAGCTGTGCTCATTTCCTTTTTATTAGCAAAATACAAATATTTAATTTTGTGCTAATTGTGCTATAGGACACCTGAAATACTCACTCAGTCCAGAATCATCAGCAGGTGAGCTATAAACCACCATGGACGCTGCTGTTTAATTAAGAGATTGATGTCTGTCCCAGTTTGCTTCTCTGTGCTGTGATAAAACATCGACCAAAATTAAAAGAAAATAAAAACTTGGGGAGCCAGGCAGTGGTGGCCCAAGCCTTTAATCCCAGCACTCGAGAGGCAGAAGTAGGCAGATCTCTGTAAATCTCTGTAAAGGCCAGGCTGGGCTACACAGAGGAACCCTGTCTCCACACACAGCAACTCTACTGTGAGAATGGGGGTGGAGATGGACCCAAGGAGCAAATCTTTCCGTTCCCCTTTTGGAGCAGGCAGCTTCCTCAGAAAGGATGAGAGTCTCCAGATAAAGGGAACTGAGAGGGAGCGGGGGCCTGTTCTGCTGCAGGAACTGGAGAGCCAGGAATGGCACTGTTTCTCTAAACCCCACCCAGACCCCAGCAGGCCTGGTCAAACTCACCCAAGTCTTTAACCCTGGGTCCTCCTTCCTCTGCCTCCCGAATGGGATCACAGGCATGTGCCACCACACCTGGCTCCTGAATCCTTTCAGAAAGTAAAGTCTTTCCCAGGAGCCCAGTGCTCTCTGCCCCCACCCAGCCCCAGGAACCCTCTCCCTGCCTCTGAGACAGGCAGCCTGAGCATTTGCAAGGTTTGGGGTGTCTTTGGGGACTTATACTGAGCTCTGAGAGCTCAGAGTTTCCAATCTCCTCCAAGTTCTGGCAGCTAAGGGTTTCCATTCCCCTCCAGCTGCTCTCTTGAGGCCGCTGGGCCTTACCCAAGTCCCTGCTCCTCACTTTCCAGGCCAGTCGGGTAAAGTGACAGTTCCTTTTTTGCTTCCACAGCCCTTTGGGGGTCCACTGGAAAGCCCTTCTTGACCCTACAGCTGGCCAGACTGTACTCATGTGGTCACGCTTTAGTTATCTTCCAAGCTAATTACCCAAGCCATTCTTGTCTGTCCATGCATCTCTCTGCCTAGAGGCTATTTCCTTCCACTCTCTCTAAATTCCTGTTCATCCTTGGGTTCCAGATAAAATGCCTCTTTGGAGACCTTACTATTCCTTAAAACCTTACAACACTGGGACAAATTCTCTCTCTCTCTCTCTCTCTCTCTCTCTCTCTCTGTGTGTGTGTGTGTGTGAGAGAGAGAGAGAGAGAGAGAGAGAGAGAGAGAATGTAAGTGTCTGGCACACAAGTGATGGGCAGAAGGTTGAACCAAAGCTCTGGGAAAGCAGTTTCTCCTGAACCTTCTTCCACAGTGCTGATTGGCTGCTCAGAACTTCAAAGCTCTGAAGGCTTTGAATCCTTGTAGGCCCAGAACCAAATTCTCTTGGGCCATTTTCAGCCTTCTCAATAGCCACGGTTACCTACCCTCCTCTGGACCTAAACTAACAGCTTCATAACGACTGGGTCTTTCGGAACATCCCTAACGCTAGTTTTCCTTTGGAAATGTATCTTAATTTAGCAGTCCCCGCCGGCTCCCATCATTTGATCTAAGGCCCGGCAACAGACTTCCAGCCAGAGTCTCTGTAACCCACCTCTGATGTCTCCACCAATGTATTTGAAAAGAGTCTTGATTTGTGACTTTTTGCTCTGTTGCTACAGAAACTCCATCAAATTATTTCCAGGTTGGAACACGGACTCTGGGGCGACTTAAAACTGTTCCTGGGCTGTGGCTCTAGAATAAACTATCTCGGTCCATCTGAAGTGAGAGGGGTTTTTGTTGTTGTTGTTGTTTTTTATGGGTTTTTTTTTTTTCGTCAATAGAGGACAATCCCGAGTGTTACCTTCTTCCTCCTTGAGACAAGGTCTCCTTCCTGTTTGTACACCAGGCCAGCTGTCTCCACCTCCCCCAACACCGGAGCGCTAGGATTGCAGAGCCCCACCACTGGGACAGCTTTACGTGGGTCCTGAGGGTTCAAACACGCATCCTCAAGCTCAAGCTCTTTACCTACCTGAGCTGTCTCCTCCTCACCCAGGAAAATCCTTATTTGGTTTCCAGGTCCCTGGCCAGAAATGACAGCTGGGAGCATCCTTTACCAAATACAGTGTGTTACAATGGCAGTGTCTGATAAGAAATAAAACCCAAATACACACATATTTATTAGATGAGGGTTTGGGGGATAACAGCTTAGCGGCTGGACGTCTGGAAATGACTAACAGAAGAAAGCGAGCCGTACCCGAAAGGGCTCGGTCACGCGCCCATTAGCCACGCTCACGGTCATCAGACCCACGGGGTCTGGGTCCGGAAACCGAGCCTCCACGAGGGTAGCAGGAGGCTAACCTTCAGGCCACGTGGCCCGAGGTCCGCAGCCGATTGGACGCGGGCGGCCCCGCCTCGCGGGAAATGTATCTGTTGTGAGCGGTCTGCCTGCGAGGTTGGCACCATGGGAGCCGCGGTGCTGGCCGCGGTCCTGGGGGTCTTCCTTCTGGCCAGGGGCTCGGTGGGCGACGAGGCCCGGGAGGCAAAGGCCGTCCAGGAGCTGGTGGCCCGGCTGCTGGGGCCAGGGCCGGCGGCCGAGTTCTTGGTGTCGGTGGAGCGCTCCCTGGCGGCCGAGCCCGGCCTGGACACCTACAGCCTGAGCGGCGGCGGCGGCGGCGGGACGCCGGTGCGTGTGCGCGGCTCCACGGGCGTGGCGGCCGCCGCGGGGCTGCACCGCTACCTGCGTGACTTCTGCGGCTGCCAGGTGGCCTGGTCCGGCTCTCAGCTGCGCCTGCCGCGGCCGCTGCCCGCCGTGCCGGGAGAGCTGACCGAAGCCACGCCCAACAGGTACGGATGCCTTAGGTCCCAGCGGGCTGGCGCAGCTGCCTGCAGCCTCCGGGCGTCCACCGTGGGCGAGGTCCCGGCGCGGGGTGTGGGGACTTGCGGCCATGGACACCTGGGAGACTGAGAAGGAAGTGCTGGCTCTGGGGTCTCCACCTTTAGATCCTGGCTTTCCTCCCAATTGTGTGTTCTTGAGCTAAAGTCACTTAGCTCCTCCGGGTCCCTGCTGGAAATAATGACCCGCGCCCTGTTGATCGAGATGGTAGAAGTTCGGAGGCTGTCACGTGATCCGTGCCTTCCCCGTCGCTCCTTTGACCTCTCTGAAGATGCTCCCCAGTGACCCTTCCGGATGCCCCCCGGCCTTCATTCTAGCACTTGTCATGCTGTATGGGCATGATGTGTTTTACACATCTGTCTTCCCCCGTTATCCCCCGTAAGAACTGACAGCCCTCATCAGGGCAGGGGTCAGTTTTGCCTTCTGGCACTGACACCCCAGGGTACCGCATGGTGCTCTGTAGGAGCTCCGGATGCGTTGAATGAAAATGAAGTTATGTGTATCCACGCTGGCTACTAGGCTAAGGAGCCCTGAGGGACGTTCCAGCTCACGGCTTCACCTGGTGTGCGTCTCGGATAAACAGCGGAGGGGCCGCCTCTTTGAGACCTTTACCCCCTGTCGTGTGTGTGTGTGTGTGTGTGTGTGTGTGTGTGTGTGTGTGTGTGTCTGTTGTGTTTGGAGAGTAGTATTTCAGAGCCCCGCTGTCTCTGAGGTGTTCCGGATGGGACTCCATATACGCCCCGTAATGTGCCCCTACCTGCAGGTACCGCTATTACCAGAATGTGTGCACGCACAGCTATTCCTTCGTGTGGTGGGACTGGGCCCGTTGGGAGCAAGAGATTGACTGGATGGCGCTGAATGGCATCAACCTGGCACCGGCTTGGAGTGGCCAGGAGGCCATCTGGCAACGGGTTTGTGCCAAACTGGCCCCTGATACTCTCCTGCCCACCTCACACACCCTATGGGCCCTGGAGAACTGAGGCTTCCCCCGGTGGGGTGGGGACATGCCTGTCATCCCAGAACCCAGGTAGAAGTAGGAGCATTCAAGGTCATCTTCAGCTACAGAGTGAGTTTTGAAGCCAGCCTAGGAGACCCTGGGGGAAACATAGGGAAGGCTCCTCTGTTTTGTCAGTCTTGGACTGTTCCCTTGCTCTGTGAAGCTAAGACCATCTTAGTTTGCTTTCTAATGCTGTAACAAAGCACCATGACCAAAAGCAACTTGGGAAGCCAGGACAGGCGCTCCAGCAGGGCAGGAACCTGGAGGCAGGAACTGAAGCAGAGGCCATGGAGGAACACTGGCTTGCTCCTCCTGACTTGCTCAGTTCTTTCTTTATAGACCCGGAACCACCTGCCCAAGGATGCCTCACCCACAATAGACAGGACCCTTCCATATCGATCATTCATCAGTCAAGAAAACGCCCCACAGGGCTGCCTACAGGCCGGTCCAATGGGGGGTATTTTCTCAGTTGAGGATTCCTCTTCCCAGATGATCCTAGCTTAAGTAAAGTTGACAAAAATAAATAGCTAAAAATAGTGGCACAAAGACCCTCCGTGGTCTGAAGAAAGCGCCCATGGGTCCCGTGTCTTCACCCATCCACAGAGTTGACCCTTGAGTGCATTCTTCTACTCACAGGTGTGTACTCCCGGCCTGTGAGCTCCCTGTAGGCTAAAGTCCAGTTCTACCCAGCACAGAGAAGTGATGAAGTGATGGATGGAAGTCCGTGTGTTTCTAGGTGCGGGCTCTTCCTCCTCTACAGGTGTACTTGGCCTTGGGCCTGACCCAGTCAGAGATCGACAACTACTTCACCGGTCCTGCCTTCCTGGCCTGGGAACGCATGGGTAACCTGCACACCTGGGGTGGCCCCCTGTCCCAGTCCTGGCACCTCAAGCAACTCTACCTTCAGGTAAAGAGCGGATGAGGGGAGGTGGAATTGGTGCTGGGTATTCACAGACCCAGGGATGGGGTGCTGAGCTAGCCTCGGGGCTCTTCCCTGGTGTGTAGGAAACTTCCCTCCATGAATGAGCCAGGGCTTCCCCCAACTGAGGTCCTGTCACATTGAACTCTGTCCCTCCCAGCATCGGATCCTGGACCGGATGCGCTCCTTTGGCATGATCCCAGTGCTGCCTGCCTTCGCAGGGCATGTCCCCAAGGCCATCACCAGGTGAGGTTGAGTCCCTCCTCACCCAGCTTCAGGGGAAAAGGTTTGCCCTGGAAAGCACAATGTAAACACCGACACTCTGGAGGTCAGTGTGGCTGGACTCCTGGTGCTGCTGTCAGCCGCTGCCTGGACAGATTATTGGATGGCTCTGTGGCCCTGTGTTCTTGCTTATAAAATGGAGTCACCGCTGAGTAAGATGATCCACTCTTCTGAACCTGATACTGTCTTAGTTAGGGTTTCCGTTGCTTCGAAGACATGCCATGACCACGGCAACTCTTATAAAGGAAGGCATTTAATTGGGGCTGGCTCACAGTTTCAGAGAGTTAGTCCCTTATCATCATGGTGGAAATCATGGCAGTGAGCAGTCAGACCTGGTGCTGGAGGGGTCAAGAGTTCTACATCCATTTTTTGTTTTGCTTGTTTGTTTTGTTTTGTTTGAGACAGGGTTTCTCTGTATGTCCTGGAACTTGCTCTATAAAGCAGGCTGAAAAAAAAAAAAAAAAAAGCAGGCTGGCCTATAACTCTCAGAGATCCCCCTGCCTCTGCCTCCTGAGTTCTGGGATTCATGGCACCCTCACTGCCCTGCTGAGTTCTACATCTTGATTGGCAGGCAGCAAAAAGAGACTATGTGACAGGCTATAGCTTGAGCATATACAACCTCAAAGCCCAACCCTGTTTAGCAAAAAATAAAAATAAAAACAAAACAAAACCTCAAAGCCGGCCTCCACGTGACCACACTTCTTCTAAGGCCACACCTCCTAATAATGCCACCCTCTCTGGGCTAAGCATTCAAGCACATGAGTCTAGGGGCCCACACCTATTCAGACCACCACAGGTCTTTAGGAGTTTGGGATAGGAACACCTCCAGTTCCAGGCCAGCCTGAGCTACCTAGAGAACCCCAGACTTTATCTATCTACAACTTTATACACATGTGATGGTGAGGGCCTCAGTTAAGAGCACCTGCCGCTCCCAGAGGACCAAGGTTCAGTTGCCAGCACCCACGGGGTAGTTCATAGCCACGGTGCACATGAGTAAATGAAGGCAAACACTCACCCGCAGAAAAATAAATCAGTCTTAGAGTATTCCGAAATCGTTAATATCAACCTTAGAACCCTCACCGAATTTTAAAAGGTTTTAATTTATTTTATGCGTCTGGGTATTTTACCTCCATGTAGTTCTGTGTACCACATTCATGCCTGATGCCCGTGGAGAACAGAGGAGGGCATCGGATACCCTGAGGCTGGAGTGACAGATGGCTGTCAACTGCCCTGGGGTGCTGCGGAGCAAACCGGGCCTCTGGAATTGCAGCCAGTGTTCTTAACTGCTGAGTATCTCTTCAGTTCATACACACACACACACACACACACACACACACACACACACACACGTAGATATATATAGTTATGTTTGTATTTATAAATATATACTAAATATACATGGTATTAACTATATAATAACTGTACATCTAACAAGATAGCTCCCTCACCTGCTGTCCTCAAGCCTTGGATATACATGGCCAGGCACAGAATGTTAGTGAGCAGCTGTCCCTGCCTGTGGCCTAGGGACTGTGTTGGTCTCTGTCCTTGTTCTTGGACTCTGTCTTCTCTTCTGTGGCTGCCTGAACAGACCTTTGAGATCCAGGTGAAACTCCTCCTCCCTTTTGGAGCCTCACCAGCACCTCCAGGAACCCACTTTACTCCTGGGAGCCCCTGGCTCGCACCACTGTCTCAGTGCATGGTGCTGGCTGCTGGCTACCCCTCCATCTTGCTCCCCAAGCTGTGGGAACCTCGTTCTTTTCATTCAGTGAACACTGGTCTGCAGATGTCAGCCCCAGTCCTGTGCTGGGTCCTGGGCATGCAGTGACAAATGTGCCCATGGCTCTGTTCCTAAGGAGAGATCACTGATGGAGGAAGGGAGGGGGCTGAGCCTTTTTAGACAGATGACTTCCCAGGGACAGTGACTAGAACTAGACGGATAAGCTTTGGGAATGGAGGGATTGATACCACACAGGGGACGCAGCCTGAGTAAGCCTGCGGGCGTGAGGGACCCAGACACTTTCCAGAAAGCCACAGGCGTGAGGCTGGTGAGGAGAACAACGCCAACTGGAGGGCTGTGTCAACCTCCATCAACGCCGAGCTTTCTTTTTTCCTCCACAGGGTGTTCCCACGGGTCAACATCACCCAGTTGGGGAGCTGGGGACATTTCAATTGCTCCTACTCCTGCTCCTTCCTTCTGGCTCCAGGAGACCCCATGTTCCCCCTCATTGGGAGCCTCTTCCTCCGGGAGCTGACCAGAGAGTTTGGCACAGACCACATCTATGGGGCTGACACCTTCAATGAGATGCAGCCTCCCTCCTCGGATCCCTCCTACCTCACCGCAGCCACCTCAGCAGTCTATGAGGCCATGACCGCTGGTACGGTGCTTGAGGAGGAAAAGCCCTGGAAGGTCAGGAAGGGGGAGTGGTGGGATGAGGACCAGTACCCTGGCGATAGCGCACTCTTCAGCTCAACAGGCCTTTGTGCCCACATGCTATCCTGCTTAACCACACTGGGTGCTGAGCTCTGGCTGATAGTATTGAGAAACACTCAAAATGCTGCCAGATCTTCTTAGGATTCTCAGGCCCAGCCCCAGGATCAGATTGAGCAGGTCCATAGTTTGGGACCCGAGCATCCGTGTCTTAAGCTCTCTGGGTAGCTCTGACGTCCAAGAAGCTGGATAAGTGGTGTTGGGGAGTTTCAGGAGGCAGGATGGGGAGAAGGGTCCCAGCGATGGCGAACGGCGGGTGGATCAGCCATGGGGGATGGTGCGGCCTGTGACAGTCACCTTATTACCCCTCTCCTCTCAGCACCTCTCTTCTGTGTCTTTCCCCCAAATGCAGTGGACCCTGATGCCCTGTGGCTTCTCCAAGGCTGGCTCTTCCAGCACCAGCCTCAGTTCTGGGGCCCCGCACAGGTCAAGGCCGTGCTGGAGGCTGTGCCCCGCGGTCGTCTCCTGGTCCTGGACCTGTTTGCTGAGAGCCGCCCTGTTTACACCCGCACGGCCTCCTTCCACGGCCAGCCCTTCATCTGGTGCATGCTTCACAACTTTGGGGGTAACCACGGCCTGTTTGGAGCCCTCGGGGAGGTGAACCGAGGCCCCCAGGCGGCCCGCCTCTTCCCCAAATCCACCATGGTAGGCACCGGCATAGCCCCGGAGGGCATCGGCCAGAATGAAGTGGTCTACGCCCTCATGGCCGAGCTGGGCTGGCGCAAGGACCCTGTGCCTGATTTGGCGGCCTGGGTGAGCAGCTTCGCCAGCCGCCGATACGGCGTCTCCCAGCCGGAGGCGGAGGCGTCCTGGAGGCTGCTACTCAGGAGTATCTACAACTGCTCTGGGGAGGCCTGCAGCGGGCACAACCGAAGCCCCCTGGTCAAGCGGCCATCCCTACAGATGAGCACCACTGTCTGGTACAACCGAACGGATGTCTTCGAGGCTTGGCGGCTGCTGTTAGCAGCTGCTCCCAACCTGAGCGCCAGCCCAGCCTTCCGCTACGACCTGCTGGACCTCACCCGCCAAGCAGTGCAGGAGCTGGTCAGCCTGTGCTACGAGGAGGCAAGGACCTCGTACCTGAACCAGGAACTTGACCGGCTGCTCAGGGCTGGTGGCCTCCTGGTCTCCGAGCTCCTGCCTGCCCTAGATGAGCTGCTGGCTAGCGACAGGCGCTTCTTGCTGGGCAGCTGGTTGGATCAGGCCAGGGCAGTGGCCGTGAGTGAGGCTGAGGCCCAGTTCTATGAACAGAACAGCCGCTACCAGGTCACCCTCTGGGGGCCGGAGGGCAACATTTTGGACTATGCCAATAAGCAGCTGGCGGGACTGGTGGCTGATTACTACCAGCCACGCTGGGGCCTCTTCCTGGAGACTCTGGCTCACAGCCTAGCCAGAGGTGTCCCCTTCCAGCAGCACCAGTTTGAGAAGAAGGTTTTTCCGCTAGAGCAGGCCTTCGTTAACAACAACAAGAGATATCCCAGTCAGCCCCAGGGGGACACTGTGGACCTAGCCAAGAAGATCTTCCTCAAATACCACCCCCGGGCTCTTTGTGACAGACTGGACATCCAGGGACCTGCTGGCCTAGGTCCTCAAACCCCAACAAGCCCAAGACGCTCCCTATGCCTTGGAGAAGGGGCCAAGATATGACAGTGAGTGACCCTGATGGCTTAGAGGGAAGCGAGGTGCTCCCTTCCACCCCAGCTTTGGGGGTTAAAGTACTGTTTTCTGTTGGCAATAAACTGCTGAATCAGCCTGGATCTATTAAACTGGAGTGCTTCATGCTGCCAGTATGCCTGGGGTGTGCAAGTGGACCCTTTAATTTGGGGCGCAGGGAGTCCTTCCTAGCTTCCCCCTCTCAGTATCCCCAACTTAAGAATAAGGTGCTGGTCACAAGTGTCCCTGTCCCTGAGGGCATGCTGGTTCATACCTGGAATAACAGCCTTGAAAAGGTATAGAGGCAGGAGGATCAGAAGGCCAGCCTCGGCTACATCATAAGTTTGAAGGCAGCCGAGGGTGTAAGACAAGCCTGTCATAAAAATAAAAAAAATTAAAAAATTAAAAATTAAAAAAAACTAAACATGAGGCTGAACATCCTGGCACTCACTTTAGTTCTGACACTCTAGGAACAGAGGCAGATGTGGATCTCTGAGTTCAAGACCAGCCTGGTCTCTGGTAGTCTCAAAAACAAGGTGTCCCAGCTGGGCGCGGGGGTGTCCGCCTTTATTCCAAGCATCCGTGAGAGAAAGGTGGATGGGTATCTCTTGAGTTCAAGGCCAGTTTGGTCAATTTGATTGCCCTAAAAACAAGAAGTCCCAGCCAGGGGGGGTTGAACAGGCCTATAATCCTGGCACTCATGAGGCAGAGGCGGATGGATCTCTGTGAGTTCAAGGCCGACCAGGGTTGTTACACAAAGAAACCGTGCTTCAAAAAAAAAAAAAAAAAAAAAAAGGCCCAAGGAATCCGTTGGGCAGAAGCATTTCCCCTGTGGCCAGATCTGCATAGCACTGCCCCCTTCTGACCTGAAACCCAGCTGCTACCTGTGGGCTTCCCCTGACTTCAGACAGTTTGGTTGACCACAGCAGGGTGGGGAAAGCCTGCCAGGGGCCTGACTTGGCCTTGAGATTTCGAGCAGACACAACAAAAGGTGGAGCGCTTGCAGGCAGGAGAAGAGCCAAACAGATAGCCAGCCCAGCCTGCCACTCGGACCCTCCCTGCTCTCAACTCCAGTCCTCTTCCACATGGACAGGCACCGTACCATCGTGCTCATCACCGGCTGCTCCTCCGGAATCGGCCTGCACTTGGCTGTTCGCCTGGCTTCTGACCCTTCCCAGGGCTTTAAAGGTACAGGAGAGGACGGGCATGGAGGCCAGGGAAGAGGCCCCCAGAGGTAAGCGAGGTGACGAGTCTTCATCCTTTCCCAAATTGTAGTGTATGCCACATTGAGGGACCTGAAGGCACAGGGACCGCTGCTGGAGGCGGCGCGGGCTCGGGGATGCCCTCCGGGCTCCCTGGAGACACTGGAATTGGATGTCAGAGACTCAGAATCTGTGGCCGCTGCCCAGGCACGCGTGACGGAGGGTCGTGTGGATGTGCTGGGTGAGCCTCCCTGAAACACCATCATCCAGTGTCCAAACCAGGAGGTCCTGAGTTCAGGAGACATGGGAGGATAACTGGGGGGTGGGGGGGGGTTAGGAAGAGGGGTGCGCGAGTGGGGTCTGTTCTCTCTCCCCTCAGTGTGTAATGCGGGCCGCGGCCTATTCGGGCCCCTGGAAGCGTATGAGCAGGACGCAGTGGGCGCCGTGCTGGACGTGAACGTGGTCGGGACCATTAGGATGCTGCAGGCCTTTCTGCCAGACATGAAGAGGCGCCGCTCCGGGCGTGTGCTGGTGACCGCGAGTGTGGGAGGCTTGATGGGTGAGCGAAAGGGACAGAGTGAGGGGGGCGCAGAGCAGGGCGAGGAAGCGGCAAGGCCTCTACAACCTTGTCCCCCTTCCCTAGGGCTGCCATTCCACGAAGTTTACTGTGCCAGCAAGTTCGCCGTGGAAGGTCTGTGCGAGAGTCTGGCGATCCTGCTGCCGCTCTTTGGAGTCCAGTGAGTCACTAGTCCTCCAGAACCCCCTCAGCCTCAGACCTTGGAGACGCTCTCCAGCGATGCCTCTGGCCCTTCTCCTGCAGCTCACACAGGGCCCTTGGGACAGGTTATCTCGGGTCACAGGCCACGCCAGCTCTTTAGGCAATACTGGGATGAGTAAACGGAGCCAGTGGGTGAATGGACCCCAAACGGACAGGAGAGCCCTTTTCTAGCAACACCCGGTCCTGCAGGAGCCATGGTTCTGTCAGGACCTGCTGCGAGGGCTCTGCCCCTTTCGCCGACCTCCCTTTGTGGAGCGAGGGCAAGCCTGGGATCACCGCTCCTCACTGGCCGCCGCGGTTGTCCCCACAGCCTGAGCCTCATCGAGTGCGGGGCAGTGCTCACAGCCTTCCACGAGAAGCTGGAAGGCGGCCCCGGCGGGGCCCTGGAGCGAGCAGATGCCCAGACGCGTCACCTCTTTGCGCACTACCAGGGTCATTACGAGCAAGTCCTGAGGCAAGCGCAGGACCCGGAGGAGGTGGTGGAGGTGGGTGCGGTCTCCAGGCGGGGGGGAGGGGTCCCCGCGATGATGCGCCCCCGGGGCTGCCCTCCAGACACACGCTGCCCCTCTCGCCGCAGGTCTTCCTGACCGCGCTGCGAGCCCCGCAGCCCGCGCTGCGCTACTTCTCCACGGACCGCTTCCTGCCGCTGGCTCGCATGCGCACGGAGGACGCCAGCGGCAGCAGCTACGTTGCCTTCATGCGCCAGGAGGTCTCCAGCGCCCTCATCTGCGTTCCGGAGTGTGTGTCTGAATCAAGTTACCAGGAAAAGAACTAAGCCAGAGTCCTTGTTTCAGAATTTGTTTTGGTTTTGAAGCGGGGAGCTGGTGTGCAGCTGTTGGCCTGCTGGCCTGCCCTCAGGGACCTAGCGGTTTCTTATGTCATCATCTGCCACTGCCCGGTGTGCCAGATGGAAGCACATCCCGTCGGGACCCGCCCCCCCCCCCACGCCTGCGCCCTCCACTCCTGCTGTAGTCACCCTCTTTCTTTTCCTCTCTGCCCTTCTCTCTTTGCCCTCTTGGCTAGCTGGCTGCCTGGACCTATTCTCTAGCCCCTCTTCGCCCTTCCCCCAATAAACCTCCTTATTTATACAAGATCTGTTGTGTGCCGCAATTACTCAGGGGCCTACTTTAGCACGGGCCCGCCATGGCACGGCCCCCTCGGCATCATTATATTTCATGGCACAGGCTAGACTCAGAGAGCTCCACCTGCCTCTGCCTCCTGAATGCTGGAATCTAAGGCGTGTGGCCAATGGCATCCTTCTCAGAATCATTTTAATAGTGCAAACCCTTCTTGGTCAAGATGGGGCCTGATATGTATAGTTTTTCTTCCAATAAGTGTCTTTATTACCGTTATTGTGCTGATGTGGAGAGGAACACATTCCAGCATCGCACAGGGTACAGAGATCAGGGGACAGCTTAGTCCTCTTCTGTGATGGGTTTCAGGGACTGAACTCAGGTCTTCAGGTTTGAAGTATAAGAACATCTTAACTGATAAACCAGCAAGTTGGGGGAGACTTTAACAACCAGGACTGTTAGGATCACCTTGAGTTTTGTTCAGACAGTGTCTTATGTGGCCCAGGATGGCTTTGAACATGCTATGTAGCTGAGGATGTCTTTGATTTATCCTGCTGACCCATCCCAAGTCCTGGGGGTTCAGGCCTGGGCTGCTAGGCTTGACTTCCTAGTCTGACTTCTTCGTGAGCTGTAAACAGAAGGAAGCTGCTCTGATGCGCACTTTACAGGTGGAGGCAAGAGGGTCCAGCCAATGTGGGCTGCTCAGGAGCCATGAGGAGAGGGGGTGGATAGATGGTTCAATGGTTAGGAGCACTGGCTGCTGTTTCAGAGGGCCTGGCCCGTGTTCAGTTCCTGGGACCTACATGGTGGGTCACAACAGTAATTCTAATTCCAAGAGATCTGATGCCCTCTTCTGTCCCCATTGGGCACCAGGCACGCATGTGGTACACATTACATTTAGGCAAAATACCTAAAATAAATAGTAAAAAAAAAAAAAAAAAAAAAAAAGCTGGGCAGTGGTGGCACATGCCTTTAATCCCAGCACTTGGAAGCCATTGGCAACAGATCTCTGTGAGGCCAGCCTGGTCTACAAAAAAAGAGTCTAGGATAGCCAGGACTGTTACACAGAGAAACCCTGTCTCAGAAAAACAAAAAAGGAAAAAAAAAAAAAAAGATAAATTCAAAGTCATCATCCCTTCACCACATAGTTAAGGCCAGCCTGGGACCTCCTTAACTGTGTCTTTCTTTTCTTTTTCTTTTTCTTTTTTTTTTTTTGAGATAGGGTTTCTCAGTGTGTTCTGAAACTCCCGATCTGCAGATCCAGCTGGCCTGGAACTCACAGAGATCCCCCTGCCTCTGCTAACTGGTTTATCTGGTTTTCCCTGATCTCTGATTGTATTGTATTAACAGGTCTCTGCTATTTTCCTGAGTTGACCTACCTAAAAAAAATATTCCTTCCCCTCCAGTACGGGTTTCCCCCCCCCCCCCGCCTGTTTTAATCTTCGTCTGATCGCCACTGGAGGTATTCAGGGTTTATTATTTATTCAGCCTGTCCCAAGACTCACGAATCATCTATGAAGTGAACTTTGTTCTTTGTTCTCTGTTCTATCCTTTACACCGAGAACGGACACACACTGAGCAAAAGCAATCTTATATAAGCTAAGCAATTAGATTCTGTATCAAAACAAATGTAACTGTGCCAAATGTAAAACTCGCATTTGCTTTGACTCCCTTAAAGTCCTCTCTAATATCCAGTTTGAACTGTCTCCTGCAAGAAGCTGGATTCCTTAACAAATTCGTTACTTTTCAAGGCCAGATTTCCGGACCACAGCACACTACAGGTCTTTTTGTCTCCTGTCTGGCCGCACCACTCCTGCCCTCCCCTGGCCAGGGCCTTGTGGTGTCAATCAGGCTCACGCTCCTCTCTTTACAGGGAAGCCTGAGGCTGGGTTGTCCTCCTTTTTTTAAGATCTCTGTGGATAATTTACCTGAAATGTTTTCTGATGGTTATCTGGCTTCCCCCTCCACAACCAGCTTCTCTGGGAATCCTGACCTCTAGGTCTTTCTTTCCCCCTGGGCCAGAGAGCCCTGCCGTGCTGCTAAGATAGCACGCTGAGCTGCTATCGCCTGTCCTGCAAAGCTGCAAGACGCCCAGAGTCTTGTTTTCCTTGTTGTTGTTTTTCGAGACCTGGTTTCTCTGGGTCGCCTTAGCTGACCTGGACTCGCTTTGAACACCAGGCTAGCTCCTAACTCAGAGATCCACCTGTCTCTGCCTCCCCTTAGCGCTGGGATATACAGGTGTGCGCCACCGCGCCCGGCCGCCCAGAGAGCCTTACAAAAGCCACGACAACCCCACCCCCAGGTGTTCCAAAACACTCAGAAATCCGATTTCCCGTGTGTGAAGTGATTTGGGTAGAGCTGTCTAGTAGCTTTGGTGGGAATACTGGCCCGGAGCAGGCACGGTAATGTGACCCCACTGTCCCCATCTCTGACACTGAGAAGGAACCCTGGGAGAGGTCCTGGCTTTGCTAGCCTTCTGGAGGAAGCAAAGGCCACCAACGAGCCGAGAAACGGGCTTTGCAGCCCGCCCTGCCCGCTTCCGGCCAGTCTAAGGGATCCGGTGCCAGGGTTTCGCGCATCCTCCAAGCTCCTGCGCTCAGCCCCGCCCCGACGCGCCCTGCCCTAGAAGTCTCTCGAGAATTCTTTCCATAGCTCGGCGTTGCGCTGTTTGAGTGCTCCGAGTTCCCGTAGCTCCGCGTTGCGAGGATTGAGGGTAGTGCTTCCGGGCCGCAGCCTAGGACGCCTCTACGGTAGGAGCGGAATCCCAAGAACCCAAAGAGTAGGAAAGCAGCCCGAGCCACAGCGTCCCCTCTAGTCCCAGCTTTCGAGTCTAATCAGATGACGCTTCAGCTTAACAAGAGAGGCTAGGATTCCTAAAGCCCCAGCCCCATGACCCAGGGCTATCTAGCCGGTGACCCCTGCTAGGATCCGGGCTTCTGTCAGCCAAAGCCCCCTACCCTGCTCCAGGTCCCTCCTCCGGCGTCCGAGTTCCCTTGCTCGGCCCGCCTAGTCACTCACTTCGTCTCCCTGACTGTCTGCAGGCCAGGATAGCATGGCCGTGTTCCGCTCCGGCCTCCTGGTGCTGACAACACCGCTGACCGCCCTGGTCCCACGCCTGCTTCCCATCCTGACCTCGGCGGCCCGTCTAGTGAATCACACCCTCTATGTGCACCTGCAGCCGGGCATGACCCTGGGGGGACCCACTCAGCCCCAGGCCAGCCCTTTGCAGGCCACATTTGAGGTTCTGGATTTCATCACGCACCTCTACACTGGCGCCGACCTGCACAGGAACCTGGATGTCAGAATTCTCCTGACCAATATCCAAACCAAGAACACCTTTCTGCCTGTACTGTCCTCGGTCCAGAATCTGGCCCACCCTCCAGAAGTAGTCCTAACGGACTTCCAGACCTTGGACGGAAGTCAGTACAACCCTGTTAAACAACAGCTAGAGCGTTATGCCACCAGCTGTTACAGCTGTTGTCCACAGCTGTCTTCTGTGTTGCTGTACCCGGATTATGGGACCGACGAACTGTCTTCGGAGTCCCAGAATGCAACCTCATCCTCCACCATAAGGCCGGCTACCGTGTTGGGCAGATCGCCAAAGCAGCCTGTGCGTGGCTACCGCCGCGGGGCCGTGGGTGGTACCTTTGACCGCTTGCACAATGCCCACAAAGTGTTGCTCAGTGTTGCGTGTGTGCTGGCCCAGGAGCAGCTTGTGGTGGGAGTAGCGGACAAAGATCTGTTGAAGAGTGAGTGAGAGGGGCCCTGGACTAGGGCAGTGGAGGACACCCATTACGTCTCCCCGCCTCCCCCAGTGCCAAGATCAAGAAAGGATGGTAGTACCACCACCACCCCCCCAAAGTGGCACAATGCCTGACACCCTGCTGTTGCCAAGAGATGTTTGTTAAATGAGTGCATGTGGTATCCTCAGTGTAAAGGTGGTTCAGTCACCTTTACACAAGTCAGAACTCCCCAAATGGGAACCAAGGAATCTGTCCTTGATGGTTCTCCAAGGGACCAGCTCTGAGAATAGAGGGATAGATGAGTGGAGATGACCCAGCACTGCCATGCACAGTGAAGGAGGTGAATGGAACAGATCTGGGGATTCTCCACCTGGCTGATAACCTACTGGTGCTGCTTCTCTGTAGTCATTCCTTGGTGGCTTGTTCTCTGGGTACGTGCCAGCCCCCGCAGTGACTGTGCTTGTTCGTTTCCTCCCTTTTGTCCCCCCCCCCCAAATGTCCCAGTTCCACCCTTTCTTGCTGCCACTGCTTGGGGAGATTTCAGTGTTTAGGGACACTCTTCCCGAAATGGGCCTGCACCCATCTACCCCAGTGGAAAGAGATCTCACGGTTGTTCTCTGCTCCTTCCTCAGGCAAAGTGCTCCCTGAGCTGCTCCAGCCTTATGCAGAGCGTGTGGAACATCTGAATGAGTTCCTGGTGGACGTCAAGCCCTCCCTGACTTTTGATATCAACCCCCTGCTGGACCCCTATGGGCCTGCTGGGTCCGACCCCACCTTGGAGTTCCTGGTGATCAGCGAGGAGACCTATCGTGGGGGGATGGCCGTCAACCGCTTCCGCCTTGAGAACGTAACCCCTGAGGGAGATCGGCAAAGGGACTGGGAAGGGGGAGGCCTGTCAGAAGGGCTGTGGCCCTAGAGCAGGGAAGAGAGGGTTTGGGGTGGAAAAAACCAGAAAGAACTTGCCTCCGAAATTGGAGGAGGAGGAGAGGGATAGGTAAAGTAAAGGGCAGATTAGGGCTCTGGATTCATTCACCTTTCTCTTACTCCCTTTTCCTCCCTTTCCCTTCACCTCAGGGCATGGAGGAGCTTACCTTATACCAGATACGACTGCTGAAGGACCAAAGCCACAGCGAAAGTGAAGAGGACAAGGTCAGCTCCTCCAGCTTTCGGCAGCGGATGCTGGGAAACCTGCTTAAACCTCCTAATGTAAGCCGCCTCCTCCTCTTCCTCTCCTTCCCTGACTGAGCATGTTGAAATGCTGAAGGACAGAAACAGGCTCTCCACCGGAAGCGTGAGCCTGACCTCCCTGTTGTCTCTCTCCAACAGCAGCCAGAGGTCCCCCGAGGTCTCTACGTGATTGGGCTGACAGGCATCAGTGGCTCTGGGAAAAGCTCCATAGCTAAGCGGTTGAAGAACCTGGGAGCATACGTCATCGACACTGACACACTGGGCCATCGAGCCTATGCCCCCGGGGGGCCTGCCTACCAGCCTGTGGTAGAAGCCTTTGGACCAGGTTCTAACTGGAGATGGGTGAAGGTGGCATGAGGTGAGAAGGTGGCCTGATCTCTTTGCTTAGCCTTCATTCTCTGTCACCCAGATATTCTCCATAAAGACAGTACCATCAATAGGAAGGTCCTGGGCAGCCGGGTGTTTGGGAACAAGGTAAGCACACAGCTCTTCAAGAGTTCTTCAGCTGCTACCACAAGATCCATGGGCAGGATCCAGTGGACTCCCTGGTCTGGCACAAGAAGCCAGTCTCCGCCCCCAGGCTGGCTGTATTTCTCAGGGAAGCTAACCTCTGCCCACTCCCTCCCTACCCGTCCCCAGAAGCTGCTGAAGATCCTCACAGATATCGTGTGGCCAGTCATTGCAAAGCTGGCCCGAGAGGAGATGGATTTGGCACTGTCTAAAGGTGAGTAGGTAGAAGGAACAGTGGAACAGCCAAGGAGGGATCATTCAGCAGTGATCACCTGTGGGAGCTTCCTTGGCCCCATTCACTACCTAGGACTGTATTTGGCACTCGCTGACCGGTAGCAGGTGTCAAGATGCTGCTGGTAATGGCTAGGGTTTCTCCACAGGCAAGGCTCTGTGTGTCATTGATGCCGCTATGCTGCTTGAAGCCGGCTGGCAGAACATGGTGCATGAGGTGTGGACCATTATCATCCCTGAGACTGAGGTACCTGGACCCCACTCCACCCCATCCGAGCCCACTTTAGGCAGCCTCCCGCACTGAGCCAGCCGATTGAGCCAGGACCCCCCCCCCCCATCAGCGTGTCCTCTGTTCCCAGGCTATCCAGCGCATCATTGAGCGGGATGGACTGAGCGAGGCGGCTGCTCACAGCCGGCTGCAGAACCAGATGAGCGGGCAGCAGCTGGTAGAGCAGAGCCACGTGGTCCTGAGCACCATGTGGGAACCACGTGTCACACAGCGCCAGGTCGGTGCAAAGGGAGAGAGTGGGTCGTGGGAAGGGAAGGCTGCGTGGTTTTCTTCCTGACCCTGTCCGTTCTACCCTTCTGGACTGGCCAAAGGTGGAGAAAGCCTGGAATCTTCTGCAGAAGCGCATCCGTCAGGCTCACTAGACCCAGAACTGACGGTGGATCTTCTGTGGCGCCAAGCTGGCCCCCGGAACTAACAGACCTAGTGGTGAGGAAAGGGGTCCTTGATGTTGAGGCCCGTGTCGGGCCTCAAGAGCTTCAGGCTAAGCTGTGCAGGTCACAGAAGCCTGGAAGTCTACCTAGCGTGCTGGGATTCGGCCAGCAATGAGGACACAGCTAATCGGTAGCAGTCCCCTTTAGGGTTCTGTCCACGTTTTGGTGGTGGATGTGATGTTTACCTAGTGTGGATGGGTTGTAGTAAGGACTGGACCCAGTCATCGAATTAAAGATGTTTCCAAGTGCTCAACTGTGTCGTTTCTCTTCCTGCCCCAGTGTCTTTGGATCTTTGGGCTCCAAATTCAGGGGCAAGGCCTGAGCTGGAAGCTAGGGAGTGCTGTGGTCAGATGTAGCCTTTGGAGTCAATCTATCAGTGACCAGCTTCGTGCTTTTGAGTATTTTACAGACTTTACTTTAAGCCTAACTTAAAAAGGCCTTTTACAATGCTTAATACCACAAAGGGCCCGGTTAGACACCAGCCCCAGCCTGGTGCTGGGAGGTGAATGCTGTAGGTGGCATTAAGCCCACATCGGATCAGATCTTGTGACATTGGGGAAGTTCTTGACCCCGCTGCAGTTGCTGGCCCCCATTAGCCCATTAGCCCTGCGCGTGTGAACAGACCATTTTTTCGGGCACCAGGGCTCTCACGGGTTCTACCAGCGAGCTAATTCCACGTCTAGCCCTTCTGACAATGTTTTTGAGGGTGCTCCGTTGAAGAGAAAATCACCGCCATTCTAGATTCTCATTCGGAGGACAGCAGGGACCCGCCGGGGCTGACACCGCCTGCAGTGCTGCGAAGGAGCCAGGTTGCGCCGCCGCCAGCAGGCTTTAATAACCGAAGCCGCGCAAGCGCAGTGCTTCCGCACGGCCCATGCCCGTGGTTGCGGATTGGTGGGCTGGGTCACGTGACCGGGCCTCGCCTCTTCCCGGAGGCCGGGGAAACAGTCCGCTGGCTTGTTTCCGGTTCGGTAGGTCCACGATGACGGAGCCGGGCGCCTCTCCGGAGGACCCTTGGGTCAAGGCAAGCTCCGCGGACGCGCACGCCGGCGAGGGGAGGGCGGGTCGGGCTCGTGCACGTAAGGGGTCCGGAAGACGCGGGGCTCCCCAGCTATCCCCGGAGTCTCCCCTGCTGTCCGGGCTCCGGGGCTGCAGAGAAGACAGCTCTCACCCGGCGTGCGCCAAGGTGGGGAGACAAACGGGGCGTGTGTGCGGGGAGAGGGATTGTGCCTGGGAGGTGGGGCGGGGACGGCGGGGAGCGCACAGAGGGGCGGTGCCTCCGAGGCCTAGTCAGGCTTGGCTTTGGGAGGACTCTGCGGTCCCTCACTCTCGGTGTGTGCATTTGCGGATTGCCCGCGCCTTTTCTAAAGGCGGAGGTCTGACAGGCTTCTCCCTTGCTTGATGCTGCAGGTCGAGTATGCCTACAGCGACAACAGCCTGGACCCTGGTGAGTCGCCCCCCCCCCCCCCCCGCCGCCGTCTCCGCGTCTGGAATTACCCCTGTTTTGGCTCTAGAGATTCTCGTGGTCTTGCCAGCCACACCTGAGCACAGTCCACTGTCACTGCGCCAAGGCCTTGGCTTAAGAAGGGAGGGAGGAGCTGGAGGGTAGGCAGGAAGCAATCATGGGTCACACCTGGTTCCCCTGCCCTAGAACGGGAAATGATGGAAGCAGTGACAGCTGGTCGTGTTCATTGCATCCAGGTGCCCCTTTGTGAGCCAGAAATTACAGCCCGGTGGGCAGTGCAGAAACTAGGGACCAGGAGCATTGCAGCGTGAAATGGACGGCCCGTGCTGGCTGGCTTTGGCGTGATGGAGAGAGAGCAGCATTTGATGCCGCTGTGCCCGTAGGTGAGGCCTGGCAGCGTGCCCCACTCCTCGGTGATTGAGGCCTTTTTTTTTTCCAGGACTTTTTGTAGAGAGCACCCACAAGGGGAGTGTAGTGTCCAGAGCCAATAGCATCGGTTCCACCAGTGCCTCTTCCGTCCCCAACACAGGTAGGCAGCCCCCTCACACATCTGGGGAAACAGCAATGCCGTCATCTTAGCAGCTTTCCCAGATAGGGAGCTCCACCGTCTCACTGCGTGGGGGTGGCTGGAGCCGTGCCAAGCCCATCTTACACTCTCACCCCACCCAAGACACTAGGCTGTCTCCACTCACCATCTCTGGGCACCGGGTTCTTGCAACTAGGGAAAGGTGGGCTGACTGTGGACCCTTAAGTGACCTCTCCCTGCTCCTGTCTCTGAGTTTAGATGATGAGGACAGTGATTATCAACAAGAGTCCTACAAGGAGTCTTACAAAGACCGGAGGCGGCGTGCGCACACTCAGGCTGAACAGAAGAGGAGGGATGCCATCAAGGTGACCGGGAGCCTGCACCCAAGGCAGCAAGGGAGGGCCTTTCAGCCCCAGATATCTGCAGGGGGCCAGGCGGGAGCTGGGCTAGTTCTGTGCTCGCACCTCTTCCTTCCAGCCCTCTATGCTGTTTCTGAGCATGGAACTAGAATCAAGTTTGTGCTAGCCCTGTCTTATTCCTGAGCTAAGAAATCCATTTTCCTGCTGTTTTCACAGAGAGGCTATGATGATCTACAGACCATTGTCCCTACCTGCCAACAGCAGGATTTCTCCATTGGCTCCCCAAAACTCAGCAAAGCCATCGTTCTTCAGAAGAGTATGACTGGGGCGGAGGTGGGTGGGTTGTGGAGTGGTATTGGTTGGTACCTGGTCTGACGCAGGGGTGGTGGCTGTAATGGGAAAGTTGGGCTGTAGGGGATGGGGAAACAAAATGAGCCATCTTTCTGGTTCAGACTTCCTTGGCACCCAAGCCCCTCTCTTGGCCCCTACTCTAGCCATTGACTACATCCAGTTTTTACACAAGGAGAAGAAAAAGCAGGAGGAAGAAGTCTCCACGCTGCGCAAGGATGTCACAGCCCTGAAGATAATGAAAGTGTAAGAGGCGCGCTGAGCCGGGGGTATGCGGCGGTCAGCTCCAGTGCGCTCCTTCACAGGCTGTAGTGGAGCAGGCACGTAGGTAGTAGTAACTCCAGGGTGGCTGCTGTAAGGACTGTCTGGCCCCATCAGCCTTGAACATCTAACAGACACACAGGAAGTAATACACCTGTCAGAAAAACAGGTTTCTGTCTGTCTGGCCGATGTTGAATGCATCCCTAAACTCTAGAATTACCCCACCACGCTTCTCAGGTTGACTTACTGCTGTGGCACCTCAGCCCTGCTTGCTTGCATGCTTTCAGAAACTATGAGCAAATTGTGAAGGCGCATCAGGACAACCCTCACGAGGGAGAGGACCAGGTCTCTGACCAGGTCAAGTTTAACGTATTTCAAGGCATCATGGACTCCCTGTTCCAGTCTTTCAACGCCTCCATCTCGGTGGCCAGCTTCCAGGAGTTATCAGCTTGTGTCTTCAGCTGGATTGAGGAGCATTGTGAGCCACAGGTATGTGACTCACACGGGGGGCATGGGGTCTGAGGTTCTCTACTACCTCCAAGCAGAGTGGTCAAGCCATTCAGAAGAGCAGTGTAGCTGACACTGCATTTCTTCAGGGTGTCGACAAAGCTTAGTCTGTTTCGCTTTGCTGCCTAGCCCAGGAAGGTCTCATCTGGCAAGCAGGATGCGAGCACTCAGTGCCAGGTCCAGGTTTGGTCCATGTCATTGGTGACTCAGGTTACAGGACACCTCATGTCCACCTTGCTGTAGTCCAGGGCTTTTTATTGTGCTATCTTCTGCTCTTTAGGCCTGGTCATTTTTTTCTCAGGGTTCCCCCTTTTATGCTTCTCAACATTTCCATTGTGAACTACTTTAAACACTGCAACACTTAAGGACTGTTACAGTGAACACCTATATCCAGCACACCAGTTATACCAGTGACGTACTCATCTTTGTCACCATCTTGTTTCAGGAAATGTTAGAACATTAAAAGTAGGACCTCAGGGTTTTTTCCTTTTAAAACATTTTATGTACCAGTGTTTTTATCTTCATACATCTGTGTATCACGTGTATACTTAATGCCAGAGGCCAGAAGAGGGCAATGGATCCACTGGGAACAGCAACCAAGTACTCTTAACCACTGAGACACCCTCCATTCCCCCACCGTCCAAATACCTTTTTGAGTGTGAGCTCGGAGGAAAATTTTTTTTTTTTTTAAGATTTATTTATTTTATGTATATGAGTGTTCTATCTGCATTTACATCTGCCAGAAGAGGGAATCAGTTCACATTACAGATGGTTGTGAGCCACCATGTGGTCGCCAGGGATTGAACTCATGACCTCTGGAAGAGCAGACAGTGCTCTTAACTGCTGAGCCATCTCCCCAACCCAGAGGAAAACTTTTTATTCAGGTCTTTCCTTCCACCTTTATTTGGGTTCCATGGAGCTCAGGCTCTGGTTACCAGGCTTGCATGCAAGAGGCTTTACTGAGTGAGCTAGCTCAGCACCCCTCTGTTTTTCTTTTACGTATATGAGTGTTCTATGTGTATGTACACCTGCATGCCAGAAGAGGACATCAGATCTCAGTATAGATGGTTGTGAGCCACCATGTGGTTGCTAGGAGTTGAACTCAGGAAGAATCCCCAGTGTTCTTAACCTCTGAGCCATCTCCCCAGCCCTGCCTCTTTTTCTTTGAGTACTAGAAAAAGTAAGTATTCCACCAGGCTGTATGCAGCCCTTAGGTGACTATCTTAGAGAGCATCTTAAAGGCCTGTGCAGTCACCCGAACATTGTCCTTCCTAGACTCTACGAGAGATCGTGATTGGCGTCCTCCATCAATTGAAAAACCAACTCTACTGATGGCTCCGGGAACCCTGCAGAGCAGCCAGCCAGAGGCCTTTGAGTGTTTGGCCACGGAACTGCGGAGCCTGAGACTGGACTACAGTACCTCACACCAGTCAGCTGGTTTCTACTTGGTGTTTGGTTTTCCCAGCTCCACCTGAGCTTCAGTGAGGCTGAGTGTCTTGTGAAAGCTTCTGATTAATTTATTATATTACCCACAATGTTGAAATTACCCCGCATTCCCCTTCCTAGGACAAGTCTGTTCAGGGAACCTCACAGAACCCCTGGCCCCTCCTCTAGCCATCGGATTTCTGCTTATATAATTTGGAAATTGTTTGCCTCTGCTTGGTCTCTTGGGCAACACTCAGCTCAAGTTTGGGTATTTTGGCAGTTCATTTAGTTGGAGAAAAGGAAAAGAAATTGTCCCATGACCATGAAAGGTGAAAGGCCATGCTGTGCCTAGGCTAGGACTGTGTGGTCATTAAGGCCAGAGTGTACTAACCGGCTCAGGGTAGGGCTACCCAGTTCCTGCTGCCCCCTCTTGTTCTACCGCCTACTCACTCGGCTACTGTGCTTGCTAGAGGAAGCAATGGCCCATCAACTCTTGCCCTGTATCTTCCCAAAGGCAAAGAAAGGTAGGTGTCCCACAGCATTACATATGTGGATTTATTTTCTAAACATCAACAGTGCATTTCTGTAACATGTAGTTTTCCAAAGTGGACCTCCAAAGCACCCCAGCCTCGTCTGTGGAATGTATCTGTATACCTAACACCACCAGTATGTTGCCTGCACTTCTAGGACCTGGGACTAGAGTAAGTGGCACAGAAGACATTCAGGTCTTCTGGGGGTAGGCCAGGGTGATGCCTTGGTCTTCTCAAATGTTGGCATGTGACAACCGTTCTGTACTTTCTCTCCTATGTTCCCTGCTGCCTTCCCCAGGTTTGATATCTGGGAGATTTGATCATTCAGAGGAAATTAAGTATTTTTATATCAAATTATATTACAATAAATATTCCAAATACTTTCCTTTAGGATTGTTTTGAGTCCTTGTTGAGGCCTCTGAATATGGACAACAAATGGACGTGACCATCCCTTTCTGACTACCAGCCCTGAGTCCCTATACCTAATATTATGCTTCTGTGCTTCTCCCCACTGCCAAAGGTGGAGAAAATCAATAACAATAAGCCCACCTAAACAAGGTGGCCAGCCAGGACATCTGTTCCTAGTCTCCATCAGGGGTCTGGGAGCGTAACATTATGATCTTCATCTGTCTCTATCCCAACTTCCTCCTGTGGGGCAAGGAAAGAAATAAAGGAGTCCTCTGGGCAGAGATCCCAGGGGAGCAAGAGGGAGAATCACTTACGAAGAACTGCTTCTTGCTCTTGGGGTATCCTTCAAGGATTGCATCACACAGCTCTGTGGTCTGACGAGAAACAAAGCCCCTTCTCAGGTGGGCAGTAGCAGTGGGAGGCCCCGCCTGCCGCATCATTTTGCATAGAAACTTCCCTGGTGTTTGTCACTTCCCACGGCGCTTCCAGAGCCACCCTTGGAATTCCCACTCACCATTCTCTTCCGCTTCCTCCACTCTTTGCAATACTTCTGCCTGTCTCTGTACACCTGAAAGGAAGAAACATAACTGTCAGAGCTCCTACGGTTGCTTCACCTCAGACCTGCACAACAGCCTCCAGCCCACCTTCTCTTTCTCTTCTGGAGTGACATGGTTGGTAGCTGCTTTGATGTTCTTCAGCCTCTCCGTGTAGCGAGCACATTCCTCTTTTAACTCCTGGATCTCTCTCTGCATCTCAGGAGTGGTCAGTGCACTTGTTAATTCCTTCAGCTCTGAAACCACATGCCCCCAGAGTTACTTGTTGAGTAAATACGGCAATCTGTCTTACCCAGCAGTGGTTCCCAGAGGTAGGAGGTCAACCTCCGTCTTGCTGTAGGATCTCTCCAGAATAGGAGTCCACATTCTAGAAACGCTCAATTAAAAAAAAAAAAAAAGGGCTTACAGCATAGTCAGTTTGTTTTTCTATTTTTCTTCCTTATCCATCTAAAAGCAACAATGGCGTATAAAGTTGAGCAGACTGTTGTATAGGTAATTAAAGCAGAAATAGGGCTGCAGGGCCAGCTCAGTGGTTAAGAGCATTGGCTGCTCTTCCTGAGGACCCAGGTTCAATTCCCAGCACTCACGTGGCAGCTCACAACTGCCTGTAACTCCAGCTCCAGGGTATCTGACACCATCACACACACATACAAGCAGACAGAACACCAGTGTACATAAAATAAAAGTAAATAAATCATTAAAAAAAAAAAAAAGCTGGGCACGGTGGCACACACCTGAAACCCCAGCAGTTGGGGAGGCAGATCTCTGTGAGTCCAGCACAGCCCAGGCTACACAGGGCAATCCTGTCTTGTAAAACAAAACAACAAAAAAGATGTGGAAACAAGACGCACAGTGTGCTCATACAGTGGCAGGGAAAGCAAGTGGCCTTTCTTGCGCTTTTGTACACACGAGCCGTAGCGAGCCCCGCACAGCGTTGTGACCTCCAAACCATGGCACCTTGGAAGGAATGCCCAGCCTTACCAGCCTCCATGTGACGACAGCTTTGCTGTAAGCTCTGCACCTTAGCGGTGAGGGCCACAATGTTGTCATCCAGGCTGTGGAGGTCACCATCATTCACGGTCTCAAACTGGTCCTGCCAGTCAAGACAGAAAATACAAGTGAGTTCATGTGAGGCACAAAGACAGAAATACACATCTGGGGAGGTGGCATTCAAATATGGAAGAACCAGGTACATCCTGAAACCCTATAGTTAGAAATAATGCTGCGGGGCTGAAGACATGGCTCAGCAGTTAAGAGCACTATCTGTTCTTCCAGAGGTCGTGAGTTTGATCCCCAGCAACTACATGGTGGCTCCCAACCATCTATACTGGGATCTGATGCCCTCTTCTGGCGTATAGGTGTACATGCAGACAGAACACTCACTTGTAAATTAAATGTGGGGGGGGGGGGTCGCTTCCATGGCAAGATGGTGGCCGGCTGCCTTCACCAAGCTGCTGCGGCCAGGACCATGGTGAAGCCTATTTTCAGTCCTGACCTTAACCAGGCCAAACAAAGGGTGCGCAAGCCATACAGCGCTTGGTATTGGGAGGTGCCAAACACCGTGCACTCATTCCAGCTGGATGTCCCTGTGAGGCAGGGACATGAAGGATGCCCATGTGGCAGACCCTTCTGGTCATTAAGGGAAAGATGGAGCTCCAGGAAACCATTAAAATATGGAGGCAGCAGACACACATTATGTGGTTCTTCCAAGGCCAAAGGATTTCCTGTCCAAGTTCTATATTGGCCATGACCCCATGAGGTCACCTGATGGGAAGGTGCATGTTAATATTTATTTTAGAGCACAAATAAACCCATTATTTGATGGTGGCTTTCTGATAAAATTACACTGGTAAACCTTTAAAAAAAAAAAAAAAAAAAAAAAAAGGCTGGGACTAGTGGTGCAGGCCTGTAATGCTAGCAACCTGGAAGGCTGAGGCAGGAGGATTACAAATTCAAGTTGAGGAAACTTTAATAGATGGCTGTGAGCATAGCTCAGTGGCAGAACACTCATGTAATGTTCAGCAGGCACAGGGTTCCCCTAACCCTGCCTCCGAAATACCTATTCCCCACAAAAAACTGATACAAGTTGAAATGCAATGCCTGTCCTCGGGAAGTTTCCAGACTGTCAAAAACAGTAAGACAGAAGGATGGGCGTGGTGGTCATGCCTTTAATCCCAGGACTTGGGAGACACAGGTAGGTGATCTCCCTAAACTGGAAGCCAGCCTGTACTATAGAGTGAGTTCCAGGACAACCAAGGCTATGTAGTGAGCCACGTCTCAAAACAAAACCGTGAGAAATATATTTCCACTTAGTGACAAAACCAACTCATCATCTAAAGGAATGAAGCAACATTCTTTCTGGAGTGGAGAAACAGCTTCCAGTTGAATAGGCTTGGTGGGAAGGAACTCCTTCCTTGAGAAGTACTGCTAGAAAAGGGCCACTGGGGATCAACTAGAGCCTCGTCCACTGATGCTGGGAAGGAGCTTAAAGAGAATGGCATACACAGAGCAAGTACACTTAGGCAAGGTGAATCTGAGGGATGGGAGCCACTAGCCTAACCCTGCATATAAAACAAAAATTTGCAGTCATGTCCGTCCATCTTCATCATCTATGGCTGTTTTTGTTTCACAGTGGCAGAGCTCAATAGCGAGACCAAATGCCTCAGAAGGTCTAAAGGTACTGTGAAGCCCCTCAGCCATCTTACCTGCCTCAGATTTGCATTGAGATTCTGCCTACAATATCCAAGATGAGATCTGTTAGTACACTCGGTAAATATGGGGGCCTGATACAGAGGCATGACAACACGTCAGGTTCAGGTTCGACAACAAAAATTAAGCCAGCTTGGTAACACACTTGCAAACCCAGCACTCAGGAGGCTGAAGCAGGACAGCAAGTTTGAGGCCAAGCCTGGGCTACACAGTGAAACCCAATCTCAATCCTTTGCCCTTCAACAAAAAGGGATGGGTGGGGGTAATCATAATATTAATTGATAAACAACCATACACGGCAGGTGTGTGCGATGTAAAAATAAACCAAGAATTACATTCTAGTCTCTGTTTTGAGGAAGGGTGGTTCATGCCAGAAAGCCAGTTAGAGGCAGAAGGTACGCATTCTACATATTGATACTTCAAATTTGGGAGGAGAGAAGACTTCCCGAGAAGAGCCTGGGTGGGAGGATACAAATTTGATGTGTTTGGGGTAGTGGGCAGAGGAAGAAGAAAAATCATTTCGCAAAGGGTGGGGCTGGATGAAATGACAGTAGAAGAAATGAGGCCTGGGAGTAACGAGCCAGGGTCTTCTGTGGTTCATACCTCAACTGAAGTCTGACCACAGGCAGCGTACACCTGGTTAGGTTAATTTTGGGAGGTGCCTCAGCGCGCCTAATTAATGCTGGGAGTCGATTCACTCAGACAGGCTCTCAGGTGGGCGTTATTCTGCGCGGGTTCTCACCTGATCGGCAAAATAAATCTTCTGTTTGCCGTACGTCTTCTCTTTGATCTTGCCTTGCTGGGCCAGCTGATCCAGTGCCTTCACCACCGCCTGGCAGAGGGAAGGGTGGAGCAATGAGGGAGAGCCCGGGCAGGGGAGACTTCTGCTAGTGACAGGGAAAACGAGACCCAAGCCTGACCAGGGCTCCGGCGGGAGGGATTCCCCCTCTCCCCGCCAGGTGGGTTCTCACCGCCTTGCCCAGTCCATGTTCCTTCTGCAGGTTCCCGAACACGTCCTGGGCACTGTAAGGCCGGTTTTGTTCCTGCAGGTACCTCAGGACGATCCCTGGGGCTGCGAGAAACGAGGCGGGAGATGGGGTCACCTCCGACTCCCTCTCCTGCTCCCCTCCCGGGCCCGGCGGACGCCGCCGTTACCTCCTGCCGCAGCCTCGGCCCGGCTTTTACTCATGGCCTTTCCCGCCACCAAACTCGAGACAGCCCGGCCGGTTGGTTGCTCCGGGATACGCCTCCTTCCGGTGACGGTCACAACGTTGATTGGCTGCAGGAGAAGCCTCCCGGAAAAGCCCCCGGATCTTCCGGGACCCCGTAACGCCAGTAGTCGGGGTCTGGGACTCGCAGCCCTGGCCTTTGCGACCAGGTCAGCAGCCGCCGCTCGGGCCCTGGCTGGAAGGGGGAGCAGCCCCTTCCACTTTGGGCCTCGAGACCCAATTCAGTCGTGCTTGAGCACTCGTGACCTCGAGCTGGGCCCAGGTGGTGTGGAACGGCAAGAAACTCCAGGCGTCACCTCCCGCGCCGCTCGAGGTTGCACAGAGCCAGTCACCCACGGGAGTGCGCCTAGTTTCCTCACGTGTCATGTAGGGCCTGTGGGCACTTGTCAAGAGGTTGGCTGTGAACGCGAGCGCACGAACTCCCTTTTCCGTGAGTCGCAGGGAGGGGGCGCTCGACACCTGCTGTGGCTTGAACGCCCAGGAAAGACTGTAGGGAGCGTGAACTCCTCAAGCCACAGTTTGACATCTCCAGTTAGCTCAGGCAGCACCTGGCAGGTGCTTTCCAATCCTGACCACAGTGGCCAGGCCGGTGGAGCCTGAAATAAATGTTTCTAGTTTCTGAGGTCTGCTGATGGCCAGAGAGCAGCTGTCCTGGCAGCTCAAGAGTCCCATGGAGGGGCACAGTATCAATTTTTCAAGCCTTCTGTTACTCAAAACTCCATTAAGCTCTTCTTCAGAGCATGTATTCGTCTCCACTTGTTTAAGGGGCAACCTAAGAATTAAAAATGAGCCGGGCACGATGCATACACCTGTAATCCCAGCACTTGGGGAGGCAGGGGCAGGTGGATCTCTGTGACTTTGACGCCAGTCTGGTCTACAAATCGAGTCCAGGATAGCCAAGGCTATACAGAGAAACCCTGTCGAAAAAACAAAACAACTAGGCTGGTGAGAGAAGTCAGCAGTGACGGACACTTGCTTTTTCTTTGTAGAGGGTAGAGGGTCCTCGTTTGGTTCCTAGCACCCACAATGCTAACAATTCTAAGTCCAATTCCAGATCTGACTTCCTTTTCCACAGGCACCAGGCAAGGACAAGGTGCATGAAGGCACATGCAGGCAAAACACTGATCTAAGAAAATAAATCTCAAAAAAAAGATGGGACAAATGCCAGCGATGGTGTTAGTTGTATTTATGTCTTCTTGGTTGTAGCAGGGGAAGCGGCCTCAGGAGGGAAAAATGGGAAAGGGGCAGGTAGGCCCTGACACCTCCCTGTGCTCCTCTACTGAGGCTGTCACCACCCCAACTTGGCTTTAGCAGACTAATGAGAGAAGACCTATGGAGGTGTACACCATGCAACAGCAGCCTCTTGGAGATTGTTCTCATACAAGATTTATTCCCCAGCACCCACCCCCAGTTCACAGTGGAGGATTTGGGAGATTCAGAGCAGGATCCCACGGGTACAAAAAAGACCTTCTGGATTTTGCTCTCCTTCCCTCCCTCTTCCTCTTGCCAACTCCCAAAGCATGAAGCTACACACTCATGCAAACACGCAAAATCCCACTCCTTTCCTTCACCTCCCCCCCTTTTTTTCCCCCACATCAGAGCTCTCCTGTAAGACATCTGGCTCTAAGGAAAGATGCCTGAAGTATTTGAGAACTCTAAAGTGGGGAGATGCCATTACCCCTAACTTTCACACTTAATGACTATGAAAGAGGCACCTAGCCATTCCCCTTCTCACTGTGAAGTAGTTTCACTTCCTGGCCTCTGTACCTTGTCCATCAACCAAGAGCAAACGTGTTAGCACAACCCCCAACCTGCAGCACATGAAAATGGGCTCTGTCCAACATCAGTCACCCAAATACAGGGTGCTGGGGGAGTGGTCCCTGAGGATCAGCAAAGGGTTAATGCAAGAAGGAAAAAGGATACAAGAATTTGGCTTGCGCTCTGATTTGGGAGACAGAGAGGCAGTAGCTGGCACAGGGTTAGAACCAATGATCATTCGGGGGGTTTTGTTTCACATGATTTGACTAGGGACTCCAGAACATGTGCCCTTCAGAAGGGTCTCCGCTGATTACCAACACATCCTTACTAACTGGCTCATCCTAAAGGAGTCAGGAAGCAGTATGGTAAGAAAAGCTGGTGCAAGAGGATCTGGCGGCTCCTGGGATGAACACCACAGCCATCTGTAAAGTGCTATTTTGCTATCTCCCGAGAAATTATTGCTTCTCCAGAGGAGGAGCAGGGAAAGGAACAGGAACATAAAAATGGGTATGATATTGCTTTGCTCACTGCTCAGACTGATGGTCAAATGGAGCCAGGGGTTAACAGCACCAAAGACAACCACACAGCTCCAGAAGATTACATGAGACCTCAAGATAGGCACTCACCAGCCCTACCAGCCAACTGATCCCTATAGCTCAAGGTGATATAGAAGAGGCTCAGGCCCACATAATGTTCACATTTCTTAAATTCTAAAAGAACTCTGGAGCATTCAGGATCAGCCATCAAGAAATAAGATGGGTTCACGGACAGGAAGTGGGCCTTGTTCTGCAGAACTAAAGGACAAACTTGCTTTGAGAACACAAATCATGGTAAAAGACAAAGATGACAATTCTTGCAGCTGCTGCCTGACTTCTGTGGCTCCAGTGAGGTGAAGATATGGGCTCTTGTATCAATAAGGGCCCCTGAGCACCCAGACCTAAAAGCAAACAGCACTACCTCCTCAGACGGGATTCACTATCCCTCCTTTGTTGCCCGCAGTACCATCCTGATGGGGAGAAGCCTCCCTTGGGGGAGCATGTTCTCACTTCAGAGACGTATGCACAGAAATGGCATCTAGCTGGCAATGGGGTAATGAGGATGTTCTCTCAGGAGGCCTCTGCCTCAGCCAGGCCACCCAGAACACAGATAAAATTCAGGGGACAAGACTGGGTTCTTCCCTTGCCCCGTCACAGTAAGTGGGGTAGGGAGAAAAAAACATCACAGTGACCCCCTCAAAGGAGTCTCTCCTCAGTGGCTCCTGGAACTGGCAGGGTCTAGCTGATTCAGCTCTGATTGGTCCAGAAGTTCAAAATCATCTCCCTCAGCATCAGTGTCCAGGTCTGAGCTAGGGGCCCGGAGGAAGCCTCTTGCTCTTCGGGGAGGTGGGCCAGAACGGTCTGTCTGGGAGGCCCCTGACAAGGCCAATTGGATCATACCCTGGGAGACCAAGCTAGCAAAGTTGCTGGTAAGGTTAGATCCTCCAGGAAGGGAACCAAGCAGGAGCTCTGGCAGTGCAGCCTCATCCTGGCTGGCAGGCAGGACCTGGGTATCCCCAGGCCCCGGTGGGGAGCGGTACATCAAGCTGGGCATTCCAATACTGGTGTCGTCCTCATCATCCAGGCCAGCAGGATCCACATTAATGGAAGGGAAGTCTGGAAGGTCTCTGGCAAATGATTCCTCTGGATCACTGTGACCATCTAGGTCTGAGAGAACATAGGCATGTGAAACACAGTAGCTATCTAGCCCATGTGTACCAGACCCACAGAAAGTCAACTGCTACATAATCAGGTTTTCCCCACCCTGTACTTCTTAAGGTGATGCAAAACTTGTGGGACTGGTTAGCTTTTTGTCCGCTGAGATGTCCGTGACTGTTAATGGCCAGAGAACTGACCGTCTTCCTCTCCTGTGTCCATGAGGCCAGAGGCAAAGACTAATAAGGGACTGGGGGCTTCAAGAGAAGCAGCAGTACAGCTGTGCCATCTCACATCCTGGGATGACTCTGCTACCTGAGGCACAGCTCAGGAGAGAAGGGGCCAACAGGAAGGCCCCTGTCCAAGGAAGCTATGATGCAAAGGTCTTGACTTACTATCAGCTCTAGTCAAAGGTTCTCACCTTCAGAGCCTTCTGTTAGAGGTGTTTGGCCTCTTGACAGGTTAAATGTGCCATTGTCTGTACAGGAGACCTCAGCATCAGAGTGCTCCGAATCTGTGATAGCCAATTCCCTGGCAACAGTAGAATCATCCAGCTTAGAAAAAGAAAACAAGTCTCAGAATATGCCGTCTGCTTTACTAATGCAAGCCCTAGAAGATACCCAGGCCCACAAATGAAACCAAGGATAACTGGGAACAGCACCCACAATCTTGACACCTGTCAGGCGGTTTCCCTAAAGGGAACACTTTCTCATCAAATTCTTGGACTCGGGCACTCTTGGGTAACCAGAAAAACACTTTTTTTTTTTTTTTGGAAAATATACTTATTAACCAAACCTCTATGTGGGCTGGTTGCTACAAAAATTTACGTCAGCTCAAGGTTTTTCCAAGATAGGAGAGTAAAAGGAAACCTAAGTGAGCATGCTGTTCACCAGGCTCAAATGAGCTCTAGGACCCCACACAACACCAGCTTCTCTCCTCAGCTCCGTATTAAGAGTAAGGGGAATCTAGGATCTCTCAGGGCCCATGAAGGGCTTGAAACCTGGTTACTAGTTCAATGTGAGCTGCCAGACAAAGGGGCCAGTGGAACAGCTTCTACACACAAGATACCTGAGGACAGAAGGCAGCAAGCTCCTCCTCACTGTCACTGCGGTCATCCATGGCACGTTCTGGGTGTAGAGCTCTGCGGCGCACTATGTGAAAAGATCAGAAGGCACTGATGCCTTCGAGGGAAAACTCTCCCTTTGGAGTCCAAAAGAATGTATCACAACACAAGAAGAGGCCTTCCAAATATGACCCTAAATCTCCACAGTGATGTCTAAACGTGGGGATACTGAGAAAGCAGTTAACACTCGAGACTCCATCTCTCCTTCAGTACACCTCCTTCCGCTAACCCTAAACATCTCTAAAGACTCCAGCTAAATGATCAATTAGCAAGTTACCCAGCAACTCTGAGGATCTCCTAAGGGTAAATACAAAGCAAAGTGGCACATCTGGAAAGTCATGGGAAGGAGGGAGGAGGAGGAGGGAGGGGCTCACCTTGGTTAAATGAGGATTTAAGAACTGTTATTTTTCAAGTAGCTGGCCCAGATGATGCTGGGCCTGGTGACCACATATGGGATTCTTTGAAGGCCAGGGCTTAATGAAACACCCAAACAATAAGACCAAAGAAGGGGTCAGGTTTGCAATCCCCTCTTTGTGTCAGGTAGTGCTCGGGCTGACAGTACACTCTGGCATCTACGGTGGCTACTCCCAATCCCTTTGGAAGTCAGTTTTCACTAACGGGAACAGGCTGGCTTAGAAGTGCAGAGAACCTATACTAACATTTACTAGTTCAAAACCATTCGAATCTCATAGCTGATGCAAAGATTATTGAAAACAGTGTAAAAGAAGTCGTCAGCACAGAGCTCGGACACTCGGAAAGTGTCTCAGATAGCAGGTGGTAGTATGGACATCTTCTGTGTCTTCTACTCAACTTGGGAGCTTTCTCAAATTGGTTTAAAATGGGAGCTTAAAGCCTAGGTGAGAAAGCCCGCGTTTCTCAGAAATAAGAACACCGCCTTTCTTAGCGCCTTGCACTCCTACCAACCATGCTCACTCTTACGAGCCAGGTGTGGTGGCACAAGTCTCTAATCCCAACACTCTGGGAGGCAAAGGCAGGCAGATCACTGTGAGTTCCAGGCCATCCTGGTCTACAAAATAAGTCCAGGATTACACAGAGAAACCCTGTCTCAAAAAAACTAAAAATTTTACAAACAAACAAAATAAATAATTTTATGTATTTATTGTTTCTATCTATATATGAAAAGGTGTGCCGGTGGAAGTCAGAGCACAACTAACATGCATGCGTGTGGGAGTTTTCTCCTTCCATTATGAGAGCTCTAGGGATTAAACTCAGGTCATCAGGCTTGGTGGCAAGTACCTCTACCTGCTGAGCTATTTCATGGGCCCTATTTCTCGCATTTAAAAAGAATTATCCAGTATGGGAGACCTAGCTTCTCCTCTTTCCCCAGCTGTCAGGAAGAAGAAAGGCCCCATGACACTTACATTGTCTTTCTCTCTGCTTGGACATCATGTAGCCACGGACACTAAAGTCCAGCCGCTGCAGAGCTGGCTTCAGTCGCACATAGGCTCGATCCCACAGTTGGTGATACACAGCAAGAGGCCACATCATAACAGTGACAACTGAGAAGAGTGGAAACAGTATGAAAATGGAGACTGCACAAAGCAAGCCCACCTGCCCCTCTGCTATTGTGTCCTTAGGACTCAGTGCAGAGAAAGTCAACTTAATTCTGCTGGTCACCTCCACTAGTGATCCTTATCACATACAGTGTGAGAACAGGGACAGAACCAGGCAATGTGGACATATAAAGTAAAATGGT